GCGATTCTTCTGTGCGACTGCCATCCAATTGGCAATAAATCAAGAGCCGCCCACACGCTCTTTTCAGCTCTATGGAGTGAGGTCTATGGAGTCGAGGCTGTGGCAACACTTTCGGAGCCTCGGGTCTCATTAGTTGCTGGCAGAAATTATGTTGCAAGTCCCTGGGTTTTCGCAAATGTATCTGAATATCTGAGTATCTGCGCCGCCTTGTATCTCGCCACTCGACAGATGCTGCTGCCCAGGCAAAGACCCAATCCCAGTTCCCATATCGGTTTTCCTATGCGAATCCGTATCCGAATCGAACCAGCCTCATGTTTCCCACACCAAAATGGGCAATTTTTCCTATTCGTAGATTCCCCCCTTTTGCATCGGTTTCGGGTTTTCCTCTATTTTCTATAAATACGCATGCCAACTACTCTGCCCTCAGCTCCCCGGAAAATCAATTGAATTTTCACGCATGTTTATGGGCCGCTCAACGTTCCACTGAGCAGGCGGTTTTACTGTCTACAGTGGGATCAAGAATTTTACAAGATTTCAATTCTTGTAAGGTGGTGTTCCATCAGCTGGATCATATGCATGGGTTTTTTCGGGTCTGTTTATTTAATAAGGCCAAGTTAATGATACTTTTAAATAGGTACGTTGCAGAAAAATCTATTACTAATGTGTATATTTCTTGTGAATATATTAAAATTAGTATTATATTATTGCTAAATTTTGGAAAATCGAAAATTTTCAAAAATAAATGGGCTTATTTTTACTTAGCCATTATTTTTGATACATTTACACTGTGAACTCGATTAGCTAAAAATGAACAAGTGAACTTTTCTCATGGATCTTGGCTGCCAGAAGTCACACCCCCAACCTTCCCCTACTTCTTACTTCTTTCCCTCTGACAGCCTTAGGAAAATCGGCACTTAATACCCCACGATCGCTGTTGGGCATCTAAAACCACAGCAGAGGTCACTAAAATAGGTGGAAACTGTTTACAATATATTGAATATATATAATTTTCCAACAAATAGCTATAAAATATTTAAATAATGAAAATGTTATTAATATATTTATTATTGAAAGGAATATACAAATAATTGGTATTTTTTGTAAAGATTTAGAGTATTTTATTTTGAAATTTGGTAAGGTTACTTTTTTATTAAAAGTATAAAATCTGATATAACATTAAGACTACATTCAATTGAGCAAAGAATATATGAATAATTGGTATTTTTTGTAGGGACTTACAGTATTTTATTTTGAAATTTGGTAAGTACTATGTAAGTAATTGGTATTTTTTGTAAAGATTTTGGCAAGGAATATGTAAGTAATTGGTATTTTTTGTAAAGACTTACAGTATTTAAAATTGAAATTTGGATGTTTTTATTTAAAGCATAAAATATGTTTTAACAATAAGATTACATTCACTTAAGAAATCAATATTTTAATGACCCCAATTGTGCGTGCCAGTGTTCAAATTTATGGCATACACACATGTCTGCCAGCTTACATTGCCTTAGCAAGTGTTTTTTGGCCATTTCCCTGTCGGCTGTTAGTTTGGCGCTTTTCGCTTTTCGCGTTTTTGGCTTCATTTGTTTACGAGGGGAAAATTGGGGAAAAGGGCATGGTGGAGTGGGGAGATGAGGAATGGGCTTTTGGGTTGGGTTCTTATTATTTTTTCTGCGTTTTTTTGGTGGGCCTGGGCCAACTATTTGGCGGAGATATAGACAGACACACGCACCAGCAGCGAAAAGAGCAACAATAATAACCATAAACTGTCGACCAGCCCCGTGGATAACCCACCCCAGAAAGCACCACCCAACCACCCAAAACCCCCCCCCTCTTTTCTGCCGACTGTTTGGCGTCTGTTGACCTCATTTCGCCGAACAGTTTTTTAAGTTAAGTTCTCTTCTATATTTTGGCGCAAACAAGGAACACATGGTGGCGGCATAAACACGAAGAACAAGATCTACAAGATATACAAGATCTACGAGATCCCCGGAATCCCAGAGATTTACAAGTCAGCAAAAAAGCGATATGGTTGTTCCACATTTATGTATGAACAGAAACAAATATTTCAGATCATTCTCTGTGCTTTAGTTTGTTGAGCTAGCAAAATAATAGTATTTATATGTATAGTATATATATGGATAAAGAACCCACACTGAACAATGGAGAAAACCATGACTAATAATAAACATTTAAATAACTAAACTGAAAATACTTTAGATTTATCTCTTTATAAAATAAAAGAAAACTTGTTAAGTAAAGTTTATAATAAGTTCTCATTGAAATTGATTCAAGATGTATTTATATGTATAGTATATATATGGATAAAGAACCCACTCTGAATTAAGAAGAAAACCATGACTAATAATACACATTTAAATAACTAAAATGAAAATACTTTAGATTTAACTCTTTATAAAATAAAATGTACTTTTCGAAATTTGAAGTAAAGTTCATAATAACTTCCCATTGAAATTGATTCTAGATGCCAATTAACAAATCAACCCATATATGAGTATTCGTTTAATGGCTTTGTGAATGCCATATGATTAATAAAATCGCCGGCAAGGGTATACGAAAACAATCGTATACCTTAATCGACCGTCCCTGCACCGTATCTCAATTTGTACTATATCATCGAGGGTGATAATTGCGGCACGTATGTGCCTGGGCTGGAAAAAAAATTAAGATGGGCTGGCGATAAGCGAGTGACATTATTTGCATGTGTACCTTTTGGCGTACTGCACTCTCATTAATAAAACAAATATGCGACAATCGCAGAATGCAAATAAAATAAAAAACAAAAGGCGGGCATGAAACGAGTCGGAAATTCAAGGTTTCGCACTGCATTATCGGTCAGGAAAATGAATGCATCGCTTATATTCATTCGTCTCGGCCTTCGAGGAAAAATAAAGTCCGCATCCGGTGAGATATTGCAGCTTCTACTACTTCTTCCGATTTCAAGTGCGTCATATACAAATGAAACACAAATCAAACTGATAAATAATGGGTCACCCTTACGGTTAAGGTTTATTTTAACAAAGCCATCTCTTATATAAAGGCTTAAAATATATTATGCATCTCATTTACGTTTTTTTTAAGGGCTATTGATTTTTATTATAATTTTACAAACGTGTGATTTCTTTACTAAAAACACGTAGCAAACAGTCTACAAACATCTACACTCGAAAATCACCTTAAATCAACGGTCGACACAAAATACAATAAACATTTTTCATTTGTCCTACACTGTTTGTGTGGCGGCAGAGATCGAGCAGAGCTCAAAACAGTCGGTCTTTTAGCTGTACGCCTTGATTTGGCTAAACTACAACTGAAAAACCATTAAAAAAAAGAGTATTTTTGACCAAAATCTGAATCTCAAAAATAACCGATGTAAAAAATGAGAAATTGGGTCAAAAAATAAATGTTCTTTAAAGTGATGGGAATCGATAGCATTTGTAGCAAGCTGCTCAAAACAGTCGGTCTTTTAGCTGTACGCCTTAATTTGACTAAACTACGATTGAAAAACCACAAAAAAATGAGTATTTTTGACCAAAATCTGAATTCCAAAAATAACTGATGTACTCCCTTATAAAAAATTCGAAAATGGGTCAAAAAATAAATGTTCCTTAAAGTGATGAGGATCGATAGCATTTGCAGCAAGCTGCTCAAAACAGTCGGTCTTTTATATGTACGCCTTGATTTGGCTAAACTACAACTGAAAAACCATGAAAAAAATGAGTATTCTTGACCAATATCTGAGTCCCAAAAATAACCAGTGTACCCCCTTATAAAAAATGAGAAATTGGGTCAAAAAATAAATGTTCCTTAAAATGATGGGAATCGATAGCATTTGTAGCATGCTGCTCAAAACAGTCTTTCTTTTAGCTGTACACCTTGATTTGGCTAAACTACGACTTAAAAACCACTACAAAATGAGTATTTTTTACCAAAATCGGAATTCCAAAAAAAACTGAGGCACCCCCTTATAAAAAATGAGAAATCGGATCAAAAAATAGGTGTTCCTTAAAGTGATGGGGATCGATAGCATTTGTAGCAAGCTGCTCAAAACAGTCGGTCTTTTAGCTGTACGCCTCGATTTGGCTAAACTACGACTGAAAAACCACTAAAAAATTAGTCTTTTTGACCAAAATCTGAATCCCAAAATTAACCCTTATAAAAAATAATAAATTTGGTCAAAAAATAAATGTTCCTTTTTTTTGGGGAAATTCATAATAAGTAATAAGTACATTTTAATAAATTAAAGGATATAAGCTAAGCCTTTTCTCTACCTGCTCACGCTCGGCTTAACCAGAACTTTAACCGGAACTCTAATCGAATTACATGTACAGTAAAATAGAGTTTAATAGTTTATAGTTTCCAGGAATGCAGATGCGTCTGAGTACGGAAGAAAGGCAAGACTAATGTCCCTAACTACTCACGTTCCGTTTAACCAGAGCTTTAACCGGAGTAATAGGGTACCAGGTTCAGGTTTGACGGTTTTTTTTGTCGTTTGTAGTTCCCATTCCGGCGACCCCACAAAGCGCGTGATCTGCACGTCCAAGAGACAGACAGTCGAGGGGGCAATGCATGACGAACATGACGTTGGCTTGTCAGCAAATCAAAAGCCCCAATGCACATGGCACATGACCGGCGGCCAAGGGGCCATCCACTTCGGACAACCACGGATCGTGCGAGTGAACGTGTAAATGGATTTTTGATTGCAGTCGGCGGCTTTCAAGCCCCGTTTCATATTTCTTCTTTTTTTGTGGACCCTGTACCCCCTCACCTACCGATCGTAGCCTTGATCATGGGCCTGACAAAATGTGACAAATGCATTCCACCTAATTGGGAATGCAGAACACTCGCCCAGGGAAGATGTATAAAAACAAACGTAAAGGCCCGGATTAAAAAATTGGGAACTCAGATCCGTTGAGCTGTGGGAATGTGTGTCACTGCTTTCGTGGCAATAAAAACATTTACAAGTCGTGCTATCTTTAATAAAAATATATATTTGTTGTCTAGTTACTCTTCAACGTACTTGATCAATTGACCTTTTTATCATACAGAGGATCATTAGCGTGTTACTCCAAGATAAATACAATATTTTCCAGTCCAAAGAGATAGTCTGTCCTTCATAATAGCATGATAGCATTCTTTCCAGATCTGATATATAGAAGTGAATTCCTTAGCGATCTAAATTCGAAATGAGAGTACTTTCCAAGATGGGATCACAAATGACTAGAACTTGGGATCAAGATGTGATGGGTGTTTGGTAGTGATGCCAGACAGGTTGAGTTTGACTAATTCATCCTTTTCCCATAAGTTACCGGATCGTGGATAGACAGTCTCTCCTGTATAATAGCATGAATCAGTTTTTTTCTAGATTTGGTATGTGAGAACGGATTTCCTTAGAGATCAAAATTCGTAGTAGTTACTTTCCAAGATGAGATCACATATGACTAGAACTTGCTATCATAATGTGATGAGTGTCTAGGTTTAGTAGTGATGCCAGACAGGTTGAGTTTTGACCGGTTCGTGGATAGATGGTCTCTCCTGTATAATAGCATAAATCAGTTTTGTTCCGGACTTCAGAAGTGATAGTTGTGAAATTCCTTAGAGATCTAAATTCGAAATGAAGGTACTTTCCAAGATGAGATCACACATGACTTGAGATCAGGATAGGTGCTTAGTAGTGATGCCAGACAGGTTTAGTTTTGACCACTTCTTCCTTTTGGGCCTTGCGCCATCTGGCATCCCCAGTTGGCTCCGTGTGCTCCCTGCCCTCGGACTGACTGACATGTCGTTCCAATTGCTCGTTGCGTCCGTGGAGAAGGTTCTCCGAAATCTGGGCCCGCTTCTCGGCCTGCTGGGCCTGAACGGAGATCTTGCCATAGCGCACCGGTTCGTGGGTCACCTCCAGTTGATCCACCAGTCTGGAGGAATCGAAGATGGTCTGACTCAGTTCCTTTAGGGCCGTGGCCTGCAGGACGAAGATCTCGTCCCGTTTACCATTCATTCGCTCGAGGAAATCCTTGCTGAGGGTCTTGGACGAAACCACCAATTGCTTGCGTCTTGCTATATGGGCCTTCAGATTCTCGATCAGGGATTGGGCCTGCGCGAAGGGAGGCAGCTCGATGGGCTTAACCGTGCGGATGGCCCGGTAGTTTGGCTTGAAGTTCTTATCCAGAAATGTGGCGAACAGGCCCGAATCGGCATCCATGGGCTTGTCCTCATCCTCGGCGTCATTCGCACCATCTTCCTGAATGTATATGGTTTCCTCGGCAAATCGCAAGGCCCGTATGTTCTCCAGCACCTGACCGCGTTCCTGGCTAATGGAGGCCAGGCAGACGACACAGGCCAGGTTCCGCACATCGAAAAAGTGCCTCAAGAGCTGGGTGAGACTGCACTCCCTGGAAGGGGGCGTCTTCTTGGGCGTCTTGCCCTTCAGGACCGCCAACTGATTGCTATGCAGGCAGCTGATGCAGTTGCGCACTGTATAGACCGCCTTTAGGGCTCCACAGGAACGTCGCGAGTTGGCCGTGGACCCTAGCCTGGGTGTCAGGACCTTCACAATTGTGATTTGACCGCACTCGAGGAGCTCACTCCGTCGGATATTATCGTAGACCACTAGATAAATGTTGATCACCAGATGGCTGCCGCCATAATGGCTCCATGCCTCCCTTTTCGTCAGGGCTGCCTTGATCATGAGCTCCGCCTCGTCGGCACTGCGAATCTCCAGGCGATTGGCCCCCACCGCAAAACACCTGCCCTTGCGATCCTCCCGCAGGTTCATTGCTGGCGGACGTCCATCGGTCTCACTGTGATGGTCCAGGAGATCATAGAAGTTGCCATCCTGTACGATAATCATGCCCAGAAAGCAGGCTCGCCGCTTATGACTAGCTTGGATCTTCACGCCATTCAATTGCCAATGGCATTCCGGACGACTCGGCGTGGTTCCAGACTCCTGGGATCCCTGCAGCATGCGATCCTCCTGGGCGGCCAATTTCTGGGCAGTTCTAGCCGGGATGCAGATGAATCCAGCGCCCAGCTTATCCGCCTGGACGAGATAGCGTTCCACGAGGTCACAGCCGGCGAAACGGAAAATGGACTCCAAGGTGCGACGCAAGATGCCACCATTCTGGGAATTCCGGGATCCAAGAAGCGAGTAAGTCTTGCCACTGCCGGGGGCTCCGGTAATCAGGATGAGGCCACTGCCGCCGAGGAACATCTGCCGCAGGATCGGCTCCGATATCTGCTTATAGACCAGCGCCTGCGAGGCCCGCTCGCTGAAGATCCGCCGGAACCGGAACTCGATGTCATAATTGGGTTGGGACCTCGGTGGACCAGTGCCCACACCCGGAGCACCAGTGGCTGCACCCGGAGCCGCCGGCAGAGCAGTTCGGGTCACCAGAATGGTGTGCGGCGGCTTAATCAACATCCATGGGCGATCACTGTACATGAGTTGCCGCTTTCGCTGCTCCTCCGTTAGTCCCGGATCCATGTAATCCAGATTGGGCTCAATGGCGGGACGAACACGCAGATAGACCATCACCAATTGCTGCTGGACGCGACGCGAATCTAGAGGATCCAGCAGATTAGGATCGATCCGCTGAGATCTCCGGCACTCCGAGATATTCCGGATGCCGCGATGGAGGGTATAGGGTGGGGGTTGGTTCACGCTCTGCGAACGCCTGTTTCCCTGATTCATGATGGATGGAGTGGGGGATCTGCCTTTTGGACAAGGTATCTCTCTGCGGGCAAGGCGGTGGGAATATCTCGATTAGCTTCTGTTTATGGCAAACACGGTGGTGTGGTGGTGGTGGTGGTGGTGGGGCAACACCCAGTGTAATTACTTTGACCCACTGACAACCCACTGGAGTGGAGTTGACCAGCTCTAAAAGTGTTGCAAATACAAACTGGCCGGGGATTAACTGGGGGAATCCCAAAAAGGGGGTCGCAATTGCTTTAAGACACTTGGAAAACAGTGGACCATATTTCTAGTTTTCGATTATTATAATAATTATTACAGATATTATTTCAAATCAATTTTATTTTGACTATTCAAGGACCTTTTTCTTGTCCACTTCTTAAACTTAAAGTACGCTTTACACTCTGATTTCCTATAGGTTTAAGGTTTTAACCCTACTTTAAATTTAACATGAGGACGAGAAAACAGCCCTAAATCATGTAGTTTTATCGAAATAAACACTTAAAAACAGTGTTATAATATTTATATTTAATGATTTTATTGTAAATGAATAAATAGTATAAATAAAATGAGGGTAGAACAACATTGAAAAAGTTTTAAACTTTTTTTTTAAAACCAAAATATTTTAATTTCTCCATTTTATATTATCGAAAATGCTTAAAATTGGGATTTTCCTAAGCTTTTAAAAACTTCTAAATTTACTTTGAAGGAAACGATCATTGGTTTAGATTGAAATGTAGTACTAAATAATTTTTCGCTGTGTATTGGCGCATCCAAGTCGCGTCTTGTATTGATTCCAGATTTGTTGTCTGCCCATTTTTATGGTCATTGCCGTCTGGCTCCGTTTTGTCTACCGAGTTTGGTTTGGCCAATATATATATATGTGTATATAAAGAGAAAAAAGGAGGAGGCCAGCTTACAAGCATAGTTGCCATTTCGGGAGTGCAGACATTTAGGCCCGACCAATGACACCTTTAATGAGTCCGCAAGCCTATGAAAAATGCAAATTTATCGACATCCGCTCCAATCAGAAAAAGCAAACATTAAAGGGTTAAGTTGAAGATAAAAAAAAAACTGAGTACGGAAAATATTAAAGGGGCAGGGTTCTTCAAAAGGAAAACAAACATTTCGACTGTTCTGCGATTATCTGTCGCTCGCTATCTGTCCCATAAAAAAATACCAGGCAAAAAAGTCGATAAGCGTACTCACAAATATTTGCAAAAATAAAAGATGTAAAATAAACAACCAAAAACTCAAAAAATATTTCAAAAACCAACAGAGCAAATCCTTATTCAAATACTGGAGGGCAAATAAGTGATTAACCTATCGTTAAATAAATAAATCGCAAAACGTCGATGAGTCCTCACAATTCCCAAGAAGCATATAACTTGGGATGAAAATAAATCGAGAGAACTTAAATAATATTTGTAGTGATTCATTTTTAGTGAATAAAACTACCTATTTGGACTAATTTTAATGGGTTTTTACCTTGAGTTCTCTTTTAAAAAATTTTTAAAATAGATATCGTGAATTCCTATTTTTTTATATTAAATGAACTTACAATGGCTTGGAAACTAACTATTTGGAATATTTAACTATCTGAAAAAAAGTTTTGAAATAGATTGTACCATTGAATAAACTTTTAATGTCTCAAAAACTATTTGGAATATTATAAAATGGGTTTTTTTTTTTTGGAAAAAGTTTGGAAATATGTTATATGAATTCTTATTTTATTTCCTTAAATGAACTTTAAATTGGAATATAATTATATGGGCTTCGATTTTTTCACCAAGTTCAGCAGATCTATTTTTGATAATTTAAATATCAAATAATCTGATTAATTGCTCCATATTGCAACATCTGTCTTGCATTTAGCAAATGCATTTAGATTATTATATCTATTTTGATTCGTTCCAATCCACTGCGTTTTGGCGGAAAACTATTTAAAGCCTGGCATCATCTCTCGAAATACTCAATATTCCAACACTTTATGGTAATCCAACAATGAAAACACGATTCTAAACAAGTTTCTCGCATTAGCAAACATCGAAGCCCCAACAACAGCAATAACAACAATAATAACAACAACAACGAGACTGCAATGCAAATTATTATTTGTTGCTGTCTGTGCTGCTGATTAATAACAATCAATGCCAGTCAATTAAGCTGAAATCGATTTGGCGAAAATAAAAACCTGTTTTCGCACCGAGGAGATTCCCCGCGTGCCGCCAAGAATTCGAAATTCGGATTCGTATGCGAATTTTTACCTAGAGAAGACAAGTTGCTGGCTATTCTCCCTTACCTGATCTCCACTGATCTTCTGTTTACCCTAAATTTTTCCTCAGAAAAGTAGAGTTTAAGCAACCAGGCATTTTTGAAATAAATCATTGAAGAGTGTTCATATTTGAAGATGGATTTACAATTTAATTTCATTTGTTATTCCTAAATACATTTATTGTAATATTTCTAAATCTTCATAAATAAAGAAAATAAAAAAGATAGAATTTAAAAGAATTTAAAAGTATTTACTATAAAGTAAAATAAAGGTAACTATTTTTAAACAAATTAACCAAATGTTATATTAGCTAAGAAAGTGAACTAAATATCTGTAGCATTTTCAAAATTTTCATATTTTCAAAATAAATTTTTTATTTTGCTAACAAATATGAATTTAACCAAAGGTTATTTTTTACATATTAGTATATAACAACTTTGGTTCAGATAAGAAAGTGAACTAAATATCTTTCGCATTTAAAATTTACCAAATGATAATTTAGAAACTCTTATTTACCAAATCAAATTTTTGGTTTTGCTAACAAATTCATATGATATTAACCAAAGGTTATTTTTTACACGTTAGTTTATAACAACTTTTGTTGAGGTATTTTGCTTATCGCTTGAAACTACTTAACTCTCCAGCTGCTTTACCTAATCGAACTTTTGCTAATGATTCTTTTTTGAGTTGCGTAACCAGTATGTACGTTTCTTTTTTTTTTTGGAACCTCTAAAAGATAATATTCTTCGGGGCGCCACTTACCAATTTGTTTTGTTGGGCCCATTGACCTCGCCAATTGTGTGGGTGGCCACCGAGTAGCCAAAATTGGACTTCGGATGTCCATATTTCACGATGGGCAATCGTTGTTCCAGATTAAAGCAGAGAGTAGGGATCACAATTTGTAGAATTAACCAAATCTGTAGCCTTCTTCCCATGGATAAAGATGATAGTGTGGAGCGGTACGAAGACTCTTCCATGATTTGTGTTTTTTGTTTTTTTTTTTTAAGCAAATATTCGAAAAATATTTGTATTTTAAATGCACGTGCACCGGGCACGGCAAATGGAAAGGTTTTACAGCCCGCGACCTTTGGCAAAACGGCAAAAACAAAAAAGAAAAACACTAGATCCGTTGAGATCTTGGGATCTTGGGATCAACAGGTAGTCCGCGTATTTTCCACGCTCTTCTCCGCTCGCTGCAGTTTTTCTTTTTCTTTTTCTATTTCTTTTACTTTATTCGTTTTACGATTCCTCTCTTCGCACGCACTCACAGCAAAAAAAATAAATAATAGATCCGTTGGCGGTAAAAGTTAAAATACTATAATACTATTACGTAAACACAGTCCACACGCATTCATTTTGATAAAGATTCGTGGTTTCCTAATCGAATTCCGCCCGATTGTCGGAATCGCACACGACGCAGGTATTTTTTTTTTTTGTGGGACGCAAGCGACTCGAAACCGAAACTAGCAATAACATCGCCGCAAAAGTGTACGTATGTTATATAGGGTTGGATCAAACATTCGGCTGGATGACGACATGTTCGACACTATGATACAAAGTTAGGGGATTTGTAACTACACTAGACACGGTCACAATTCTTTTAAAGAATGGTATTAAGTAATTAAAAAAATATATACATCTAGAACAATAAATCTTTTTAAAAAAATTTATTGGTTCGAATTTAGGAATTATTAAACAAACTTTGTTTTGTAGGTAAAAAAATCTTAATATGATAATAAAATATAAAAAAATAACGTTTTTACATAGATTTTGGGTATTATTAAACAAACTTTATTTTGTAAGTAAAACAAATCTTAATATGACCAAAATAATATAAATAAATAAATTAAAAAATAATAATATGTACATTACTCTGCAATACTAATGATTAATGTACGTATATTACAAATATATATGCATTTATTCAACAAATTTACGTTGCTTCTGTCAGTTTTGAAGTCGAAAAAGGAAAACGTAAACTTAAATTCAAAAACTTTCTGTTAAATATCCGTTATATTACTTTTAAAAATGCCGTGTTGCAGCAAGTTGCAAGCGAACGGCGAACATGTTGCGAGCAAACCGTTGGAAGGTTCGTTGGTTGCGTCAAACGATAACTTTGCCGGCCGCGAAGAGGAACTATTCGATAAACTTATAAATTCAAATAACTTTACTTTACTTTGGACCGTTTTCATCCGCATGTTAAATGAAAATCAGAAAATTTGGAGTAAGCTTAAAGTGCGGACCACAAAACGCTCATTGAAGCATCAAAAAATTGTGTAATGACTAGCAAATCATTGTTATTGACCTCAATAGGACAATCTGATATCACTTTAAAGAACACTTCTTTTAAGAACCCGTTTTTACGTTGACCATATATTTTGTGCCCCTTCAATACTCACTGTTTTTGCACTGGTAAACTGCGATTCCTCCTCAAACTTATCGTTAGTTTAGAAAAGTAACCAAATCTTATTGTCCTCTGTACTGAAAATCGTGTATAAAATTTATTAGTAATTTTGAACAGCTCTGAGGGCCTAAAATCTAAAACGACAATGATTTGTTTCTGTAATGAACCAAATGATAGAAACTGACATTAGATTTTGACTTTGCAATAACTACTAGATTCCTAAATTCAAAAGTTTGTTACTTTGAGTCAAGTGATAATTTTTCACCGAAGAAGGACCGAAACTTAATTCTATTTTTGTTTATAACTATCTATTTGTGACGATATTTTTTTGACGAATTTACATTTTAATGATATTTCTGATCCACTTTTTTTTGCAAAATCTGCATCGATTGATTGTAGAATAAACTTATTCACTGAACATTTTATGGCTTTTAATAAATCATTTATTAAATATTTATTTTGTTTTTTTTTCAACATTTTATATTACAATTATCCGAGAAGTATACACATATAAGGAATATACCTTTTTTTGTTGATATATTCAAGTTCTTTTACAAAAGCGTTTGAAAATATTTAAAAATCGTACCTTATTGATGATATGTCGCTTTTAAAAGAGAATACAAACAATTTTCTGATTTGAAAAAAATGTAGAATGTCCCGGAAAATAACATTTATAAATGGTAAGTATATTATTAATCATATCAAATGCAAGCTAGGAATACCTAAATGTAACATTTAATTTTGCCGCTCATTTCTAATTTTAAAAAACAATACAAAATAATATCGATATTCTCATATTTGGCCAACAAAATTTGACGATAAGAATATTTTCCCAAAAAATATCGATTACTGTGGAAAACGACCGCGCGCATGTCCAATTGACAATTAAAACCATTTGTCCTGAAACTTCAGAAAAGATATAGTACTGATTCTGTATTGACTGAAATCTAAGTAATGTTAAAACAGTGACGCAGTAATAAATATCAGAAAAGGTGCGACTATTAGCCATTAAAAGGACTCCCTTGAAAGATTATCGATTTTTCGGTAGTTCCCAAAGAATCTCTGAAAAAATTACCCAAAATCTAACGAAATGTCTTATGTGAGTTGCGTTTTATATATTTATAAGGATTTGTCATATTTTTTTGGTAGTTACTAATGGATTGCATTGATTTCCACAGCGCTTGAAGGCCACAAAATGTCCTACGGACGAGCTTTCCCTGACCAATCGGGCCATAGTGAATGTTGGCGATTTTCCGGACGAAGTGAAGTAGGTGCTCCTGCGATATGGATACATGTGTCCTGGTACTCTAAATAGACCCATTTGTATTATTCCCATTCCCAGCTATGCGGACATATCGCCAGCTGCAGGACAGCACTTCATTTTCGCCCTGGAGAAGACCGTTGAGGTGCCCAGGGGCTATGTGGGCTTCTCCCTGGTCCAGAGGAAGTGGGCCATGGTGTCCATTAACCAGGAACTGGAGGTGCGTCCCTATCGCTTTGATGCCAGCTCAGATGTCATCACCTGTGTGTCCTTCGAAACAGACTTTCTGCAGAAGAAAACGTGAGTTTTGCATATAGTATAGAAAATTCCCGGGATTATGTAATATCGATTATAATATACCATCTCCTGCAGTGTCTCCCAGGAGCCCTACGATTCCGATCAAATGGCCAAGGAGTTCATCATGCAGTTCGCTGGCATGGCCCTAACCGTTGGACAATCCCTGGTCTTCAATTTCAAGGATAAGAAGTTGCTTGGACTGGCCGTCAAGTCCCTGGAGGCCCTCGATCCCAAGAGTTTGGGCGAGGGCAAGGAGACAGCCATGCGTAATGTCCGCTTTGGTCGGATTCTGGGCAACACGGTGGTTCAGTTCGAGAAGGCCGAGAACAGCTCCCTGAATCTGCAGGGCAAGAGCAAGGGCAAGGTGGTCCGTCAGTCCATCATAAATCCCGATTGGGATTTCGGCAAGATGGGCATTGGTGGTCTGGACAAGGAGTTCAACTCGATCTTTCGGCGAGCCTTTGCCTCCCGTGTCTTTCCACCAGAGCTTGTGGAGCAACTGGGCTGCAAGCACGTCAAGGGCATCCTGCTGTATGGTCCTCCGGGAACTGGCAAAACTTTGATGGCCCGTCAAATTGGCACCATGCTCAATGCCCGTGAGCCGAAGATCGTCAATGGACCGCAGATCCTCGACAAATATGTGGGCGAATCGGAGGCCAATGTGCGACGCCTTTTCGCCGAGGCCGAGGAGGAGGAGAAGCGTCTGGGACCCAACAGTGGGTTACATATCATCATCTTCGATGAAATCGATGCCATTTGCAAGCAGCGTGGCTCCGTGGCCGGAAATAGTGGTGTCCACGACACCGTGGTCAACCAGCTGCTGACCAAGATCGATGGCGTTGATCAGCTGAACAACATCCTGGTAATTGGCATGACCAATCGCAGGGACATGATCGATGAGGCTCTGCTGCGACCCGGCCGCCTCGAGGTCCAAATGGAGATCAGTCTGCCCAACGAACAGGGTCGCGTCCAGATCCTCAATATCCACACCAAGCGCATGCGCGACTTCAACAAGATCAACGACGATGTGGACAACAAGGAGATTGCCGCGCTGACCAAGAATTTCAGCGGAGCCGAACTGGAGGGATTGGTGCGTGCCGCCCAGTCGAGTGCCATGAACCGGCTGATCAAGGCTGATGCCAAGGTCACTGTGGATCCCGAGGCCATGGAGAAGTTGAAGGTCAATCGGGATGACTTCATGCATTCGCTGGAGAATGACATTAAGCCGGCATTCGGTACCGCCCAAGAGATACTGGACAATATGCTGGCCAGGGGTGTCATCAATTGGGGTTCCCCGGTTAGCCATCTCCTCGAGGACGGCATGCTCTATGTGCAGCAGGCCAAGGCTCCGGAGTCCAGCGGCCTGGTCTCCGTACTCGTATCCGGTGCCCCCAACTCCGGCAAGACGGCACTGGCCGCTCAGCTGGCCAAGATGTCGGACTTTCCGTTCGTAAAGGTCTGCTCGCCCGAGGACATGGTCGGCTACACTGAGTCGGCCAAGTGTCTGCACATCCGAAAGATCTTCGACGACGCCTATCGCTCCACGCTCAGCTGCATTGTGGTGGACAATGTGGAGCGTCTGCTGGACTACGGTTCGATTGGTCCCCGGTACTCCAATATGACACTGCAGGCGTTGCTGGTGCTGCTCAAGAAACAGCCACCCAAGGGTCGCAAGCTGCTCATTCTGTGCACCTCGAGTCGACGGTGAGCTGGGATTGGGATTACCACTTGTATTATCTGTATTTAATGGTATTTCTCTTTCAGTGAGGTTTTGGAGGAGATGGAGATGCTGACGGCCTTCACCTCGGTGCTCCACGTGCCCAATCTCTCGCAACCGGACCACGTTCTGGCCGTGCTCGAGCACACGGACATCTTCAGCAAGGGCGAGATCCAGGCTATTGGCAAGAAGATGTCTGGAAAACGGTAGGTTTTTGATTTCAACATATGTTTTTGAAGAGGAAATACTATTTCTTAAGCAATAATTTCAGTAATTCTCATAAATGTATAGATGTCTATTAGTGGCAGTAAAGATTTCACTTAGGATATCCTTATTAACCAAGTTCTTTAAGATATTAAGGTATTCTTTTTTTTTTTTGAGATAGAAGCATTTGAGAAAACAGTGCAAAATGTTGTATTATAAAATTGAATTATCTTTTAAAACGCATTATAGCCATTGAGTTGAGTAAGCCTATTGAATATTATACTTAAATTAGGAGAACCATAAATACTTATTTCCTTTTCTTGTCTTTTCTTGTCCAGCGTCTTCATTGGCATCAAGAAGCTCCTGGGACTCATTGACATGGCACGTCAGACGGAGCCGTCGCAGCGGGCCATCAAGTTCCTGTCCAAGATGGAGGAGGAGGGTGGCCTGGACATGGTGGCGAGGCAGTGAGGAATATGAAACTGGATGTGCCCGAATGCAGTCTCAATTATTAGCTCCTAAGTGCAGAAGAACGGGCAGGAGATGACTCCGAATCAGAAGCGTTGACTCCATGTACACCTCTACATCGCAAAACTTATACTAGTCAGATACAAAGACATATATATATATATATACGATCCAGGCTTCGCGTTGTTTGTTCGGTCCCAAACCAAGAAAAAAAAGAAACCAAAATCCACATCCCGAAGGAGTTTCCTATATTTCCGAGTTCTCCCCCACAGAGCTCAATCAAATCAGACAGATATGTGAGACCCGTGACCTGAAGATGATGGCATATTAAGCATAATACGGCAAAATGGACAGATACTCAATTAAATTTATAAATGACACGCGTAGCAAATAATTCGTTAATAGCATAATAATCTTTCTCGTTACCTTTAATTTTAGGATTCGCTTCGGTACATTCTCAGAGCGGGAGAAAACACCAATGTTTTGCCACTGGCATTGTGAATTTTTGAACTAATTAATTCAATATGTATTAAATCAAATACTGTTAACCGCCAATGTTATACATATATCTTAAATAAAGAAAACGATCTCAAATTCCATCTTAGCTGAATCGCTTTTATAAGTATGGGGTATATACTTACTGAAACAGTCCAATTTTTTCGGATCACCAGAGAGAAATAAAAGAAGAAAACCTCCATAAAGTACTCTTGACGATTTCTTCGATTTATTTCGTTTAGAAAAAGCGACACACAATATTACTCTTAATTGTTTCATGTTTTTTGTTCCTTGGACTTATTTGTGCAACAATAAACAAAATATAAATATAAATATTTGATTTTGTTTTCATTTTTCTAAAATCATTTTTTACTATTTCTCAGCTTATGGAATTATTTTTTGTTTTTTATTTTTTTGCAGTGCGCAACAACAATATTTTCTTTTATTAGTATAATTTGTTAATGTTTCTTGTTATCAGTTTAAAGGTTTTTTTCAAAAACGTTCTATCAGGAGGAGAGGTAAATGGATGGATGGTGGTTGGAAATTTAAGATAACCCTCGGGGCCATTACCAAATTCGAATTCGAAAACCAAAAATAAAAGAAAGTGAAAATCATAGATTAAACACAGAGAACAAAGACATTTTAGGTTGGTATTTCAAAGCGTCTCAATACTTTTTTAAAACCAAAATTAGTTTTAAAGGTCTTTTTTTAATTTTTTCAAGTATCGGGTTTTTTTCGAAAGAGACCATTTTCCAATGATCTTTTCAATTAACGTTCTCTGGTTAAAAAAGAAAAGAAAGGACGGGACAGACATGCAAAAAAGAAAGGACAATGGCATCTCCTCCTTCGCTTAGATTAATAGTTACATTTGTGATTTCATTTTTAAGTTTAGTTTTTAGTTTCTGTTTCGATTTGTTAACAATTGTTTCATCCAGTTGGAGCCAATCGGTCCATCTCTCGTTGTGCTTATTCTTCACTTTATACCTCCACTTTCTCTTCTCCTTTCAAAATTTTTGATCCTTGTCTGTTGCTCCTTTCTCCGTTTTTGAGGTGCTCCTTTACTGTTAGGTAGCGAGTTAGAGAGAGACGGCTATAGACAGCTAAAGGTACACGAGTACAAATACAATTACAGCGGTTTTACAGTTAACGGTTAGCGTTTAAACGGGTATTCCAGAATTTTCCCGGTTCACGCTTTTTAGGTCCTATATTCAGGACCTACTATGTTTTTTTGTGTGAGCGTGAATGTTTCGAATTTTGTATATTTTGTTGGTTTTTCTTTTTTATTAAAATTGTTCACTTTGTTTTGTGTTTTATTTACATATAATAATAGTTTTACTTCATTTCAGACATTTGTTGAACATCGTTATCGTTACACACACGTGTGCATTTATGTATATATATACTTGTATATATATAAAGGGTTATTATTGTAACAGTTATTAGGTATACATACGTATATAAGATCTCGGCAACATTTAACAACAATTTTCTCTTATTCGTTTTAGTTTCTGTTTTTGTGTGGTTTTGTTTTTGCTCTGCACTCGATTTTCATTTTCTCACATTTATTGCACAATATATATATTTAAATATATATAGAATTCTTTAAATAATAGTATGTTGTACTTGAAACTTGCACTAAACTATAAATTGTACAAAAAGATTTTCTCAGTTTTTCGCTTTTCCTTCTTCAACTTGTTAGCTGTTAAGTTTTCTCATATCTTATCTATCAACTAAAGCATTCTACATAACACGTAATCCTCTCTCTCCCTCGATCTTCATCTGGGGTGGCGGGATAAGTGGGCGTGGTGGGGTTTATATTTTTGGGAACTTTGAGGTTGAACCTTACCTAAAAAAACACACGCTTCTTGCACCTGATCTTCTCTTTTAACATTAACTTTATATAGTTTACTGATTTACCATTAGGTTAGTGCTCCTATATCCTTTTAACACACATACTTAAAGAATAATAATATTAATATTAATAAGATACATTGAGTTGCGTGTGTTTCGTGTGTGCGTTAAAATACCTCTTCTCCTCTCACCCTAAAAAAAACAAAAAAAAATCTCTCAAGGAATTCTACAACTAAGTTCTCACCATATATACTATATATATTCATATAAAATTCCCCAGTTTCCCAGGGGTTCTTCTTTCTAATTATTATAATTATTTCTTTTTTGGAGGCACAGCCACCATTTTGAACTTTAGGCCCTGTTCTGCTACTTTTAGGCATTTTCCCCTACTTTATTTTCGTTGTTTCTCCATTTTTTTTTTTGGGGCGATGGATGGTTGGGATATAATATTATAATTATCGATCGAGTGAGAGAGATAGATGTGGCTATAGACGATCAATGACAACGACAACAATTTGCAAGCGAGCGCCACAACAACAACAGCAACAACAATCAATTCAACTACAACAAATAACTAAATGTGCATTGAGCAGCTTGCGGCCACGCCCTCTCGCCATGCCCCGGTGCCACGCCCACATATCCACGCCACGCCCACCGCCTCCTTGTCCCCGCCTCCATTCTCCGCCAGCGTTGCCTCCTATTTGGTTTCATCCTGATCCATCGGCTCCTCGGAATCATCGCGGGAAAGGGTTCTGTTGAAATCATAGATTATCATTAGATTTCGAATAGATTTCAAATGTATTCTGGACCACCAACCTGTGCATCGACTGCATGGATAGGCCGGCCATGGCGTTGATCGTCTCGGACTCGTCGTGCTCCACCTTGAGCGTTTCCAGCGCAGACAGACCCACCGTGTGTTCCAGCATCCTGACGCAGGGCCAATGCGTTTGCTAAAAAATTCAAGGAAGAAACACAACAATCAGATTGAGGATAACCAAATGGAGGGGGTATCTCATAACCACCTGAATGGCTATCGTCTTCTGGAGCGTGTTGATGGCATTCTGGCAGGGCGGCCGCTCCAGTTCGGCCTTGGCTATCGGGGCTGCGGGATCGCCGAGCAGCGCCCGCACGCACTCTTGGGCGGAATCACAGATGGCGGCCAAATCGTAGCCACCCTCGAGGGCCAGCACCACCTTGCCGTTGGCCAGCTGGAGCAGCTCGCGGGTCATGAAACCAAAGCAGGCCGGCGAGACATGGTAGCCGCCCAGCGGAGCCGGATGGCCGGTGGCCGCATCGAAGCCAGAGGAGACCAGCACAATGTCCGGATTGAAGCTCCGCGCGATGGGCATCACAACGGTACGGAATGCAGCGATATACTCGGCGTCGCCCAGCGGCGGATTGAGTGCCCCAGACCATGAGATATTCACGTTGAAGCCGAGACCAGCACCGGAGCCGCACTATGAACAGAAGATTCCCCATTAAAATGTTGAACATATTACTTCACTGCAGTTCCAAAACTCACCTCTGTGGGTCCGCCTGTGCCGGGAAAGAAGTTACCGTCATCGTGTCGATGTATGGAAAGATATAGAATGTCGGGACTTTGGTAGAATGCTTGCTGTGTGCCATTGCCATGATGCACATCCTGCAAAAAGAGAGGGATTTAGTTTAAGATTTAGTGATTTACATTCAAAAACAAACACCCACCCAATCGACGATGAGGATGCGCCGCACCTCGGGCATCCGCTGGCGGAGCAACTTGGCCGCAATGGCGATCGAGTTGAAGAAACAGAAGCCCATGGCCAGATTGGCCTCCGCATGATGGCCCGGCGGCCGGACAACGGCGAATCCATTCCGCAGATCCCCCTTGGCCGTCTTCAGCGCCAAATCGATCACACATCCGGCGGCCATTCGTGCTGCGGTGGCCGTATGATGCTCATTCCACGTGGTATCCAGATCCACACCCAAACCGCCGCACGATAGACGGACAAAGCTGGCCGACAACGTGTTCTCCAACTTGGGCCTGCTCAACTGGCACTGATTCGAGCCGAAGAGCATGGCGTGCGCCTCCGTGTGCACCGTCTGCAGCTCCTCCTGGGTTGCCTTGCGGGCGCGCAGGCGATCGCAACGCTTCACCAGATCGGTCTCATTCAGACGCGCCCACACGCTCTGCAGCCGACCACTGTGCTCCGGATGCTGGGCATTGTCGCCGCAGATGCACGAGTGCTTCAGCATTAGCGGATCGTAGGCCAATCCGGTGGTGACCTTGTGCGGCGGCGAACCACTCGCCGGTGGCTGCTGGTGGTTGCGCAAATGGCTGGCATACAGGGTGCTCATAAGCTGGCGGTGCTGGCGATGCGGCAGCGAGAGGTTCACGGGCGGTATATGATCGGCCGACGAGGATGTGGCTATCGGTGCCGGCTGCTGCCCGGTGTCCGGAATCTGGCTAAGACCATGCGGACCCAACGGCACCAGCGGACTGCTAAGCGTCCGCGAAAGCGGTCGCATTAGCCCCTTGGCCAGTTCCTCCTCCTGCTGCAGCAGCAATAGCTGCTCACGCTGCTGCTGCAGATACTCCTGATCCCGCAGCTTGATGGCGGACTTGGTGACGGAGGCGGAGTTACTAGAGGGCGGGGCACGGTAGGCGGCTGCTGCCACCGCCGCGGCCAATGCTTCGGGCAGATTCTGGGACGTGCTGGTGGCTATCGTGCTGGTCAGCACCGTCTTCGGCGGTTTCTTCTTGTCGGTGAGGTCCATCACCTCGGCGGCCGAGTCGTCATCCTCCTCCTTCAGCTGCGCCTCGCGCACCACATTCACGCCAGCAGCGGCGGCAGCGGCTGCAGCTGCTCCGCTGCGGGTCAGGACGGTCTGGCGGAGTTTCTGGTTCAGCACCTGGTGCTCGTATGCCTGACGCTCCGCCTGAAATAAAATGGGTCATTATTAAAGGGTTTCTTTGTTGAAGAGGATAAAAAACCAGGTCACTCACCTCACTATTCTCGTAGTGCGTCTGGGCCACATTCAGCTGCCCGGCTCCGGTCAGCATGGGATGACCCAGGGGCAGTGGGGCCGACTGCGTCCGTCCCAGCGGCCGGTGGCCCTGCTTGTGCAGATGCACCTGCGCCACCTGGGCATCCGTGATGGGCACATTGTGCTGGTGGCCGCCATAGAGGGCATGGCTATGCCCGTGTCCATGGCCATGGGCGTGGCCGCCATGGTTGCCGTGACCATGGCCATGGCTATTGGTCGGCGGCAGTGATCCGGCGGCGGCTGCTGCTGCTGCCGCTGCAGCCACTGCGGCGGCATGGAGATTAACCGCCGAACCGGCCACGCCGCCCAGCTGCTGCATGTAGGACGAGGACGAGGGCAGAATGGTGGAGGCGGCATGGGCCTGCGGCGGCGCCACATCGCCCACCAGCGAGGCCTGCGACGAGGAGGTCGACGTGGCCGAGGCACTGCGCACCACTGGCGATGGCTGCTGCGGCGCAATCCCCGTGGAGGGAATCATGGCCAGCGGCGCCGGCTGGCGACCCACGAAGGCCATGCCCAGTGGATTATAGTAGCCTGGCTGTCCACAGCCGCTCTGGGCGGCAGCCACATGCTGATGCAGTGCAGCGAACATGGCATGAGCCTGAGCCGCCTGTGCCTGCGCCTGGGCCTGGGCAGCCACCTGGGCATTCACCTGGGCGTGCGCCTGCGCCGAGTTGGGTAAATGCGGTCGCCCCAGCGAAATGTTGGGCAGCGATGGCGAGCTGAACAATGGCAAATCGTTGATGCTGCTCCGCTGGCCCGGCTGATACTGGCTGCCCTCCTCGTTTTCCTCCTGGATGGGTGCACTGGTCGGCGATCCGCGACTACCGACCACGCCCACCGCCAGGGCGGCTGCCGAGGGCGGGGAATTGGGTCCCGAATCCGGTGTACTGTTGCAGTCTATGGATTTAGGTTTATAAAACACTGATTAATAAGGATTTTACAAACGATTTGGTAAACTTAGGAGGAGTAGATTAATTGAGCTGAGCGATATGGTCAAAGTTAGTTAAACAGGAGCAGTAAAAACAACACCGATAAACAACAATTTAACAATAACAACAACAATTAAAATTAAAACATTATTAAACAATTATAATATATTACAAATTAACTTTAATTCTGAATACTTAATTGTAATTTGAGTATGTGTTATGCGTTTGTCTGGGTTCTGAGTGTTTACTATGCTTATAAATTTGAGGAACAGCGTTCCTTTAATGACAGCTCCAAATAATTCACTATAACTTGTACAACTCACAGGTTCTTTAAGTTTTGTTAAAAAACCAAAACTATTGTTCTGTACTTTATAGTCTTTTAGATATCACATAAATATTACCATAAAAAATGTTAAGGGATAAAGGTTTTTAAAGAAAGAAATATGCCTAAATGTTAAGTATCAATTTTATAACTCTAATTTCAGTTCTGAAAGGTTTTAAGAAGATCTACCGTTCTTGATCTAAATGGTAAAGTTTCTGAATAATTTAGTATGAATTATTATGATAATATGAATAATAGCTTTATAATATTCTACCAACAGACTACTCTTTTGTATACCCTCAGCGATCTGATCATTTGGTATCAATTTTATAGTTCTAATTTCAGTTCTGATAGGTTTTAACAAGATCTACACTTCTTGATCTAAATGGTAATGCTTCTGAATAATTTAGTATGAATTATGATAATATGAATAATAGCTTTGTAATATTCCAGAAACTGACTACTCTTTTATATATCCTCAGCGATCTGATCATTTGGTATCAATTTTATAATTCTAATTTCAGTTCTGAAAGGATTCTTGATCTAAATGGTAATGTTTCTGAATAATTTAATACGAACTATGATAATATGAATAATATGACTACTCTTCTATATATCCTCAGCGACCTGATCATTCGGTCACGAGGTTCTGAAAGTGTGACTTGAGTTCTGATGGGTCTGGATGATGGATGTTACATGATAGATGGATGATACGTACTTGTGAGAACGGAGTTCTTTTGCTGCCTGCGGTGCGCCGCCTGGAGGAGGCGTTCTTGGCGACGGGCTCCCGCCGGTCCGCCGATTCGGGCCTTGCGCTCGATGACGCTCTGCTTCAGCCGGATCTTCAGCAGGTTCGGTTCGGATGCTGTTTTGGGAGCGGTTCACACACGTGTTGGGTTAGTTCGGGGGTTAAGAGCTTTGGGCTTATAATTACAGGTGAGGGCGTTTAAAACAAACTTGCAATTAGTAGTTAGCTGTTCACTTTGAAAGCCATGCTTGCTGCTTACTACTTTTCAATTATATCTAAACGAGTCTTTATCTACCACTAACATTTTACAAAATTTATAACCAAACTGTTTAACCCCTATACGCTTTATGATTCTAAAATAATATAATTTGTAGCTGTTTTTCTAATTATACATTAGAAATATACTTTAAAATTCTTCTATATTGAACAATAAATCGAAAACCTTTAGATCATAAATAGTAATTTTAACGAATCCATTTTTTGTTTAAGGAAACTTTAGGTAACTTTTGTTCTGAGACCAAAGTTCTGACTTAAATGTACCCAAGTACCAGAAATCCACAACTTATAACACGAATCTTGTTCTCGATTATAAGCTAACTTATCCAATCTTACCCAATTTAAACAGAACCCATTATAACCAGATATTACCCAACGAATGTTATCTAAACAATTCCCTCTCTGGCATTTTAGTTACGTGCACCCCCACAAAATATATATTTTTTTCTGGTTACCACCTATCTTTGTGAACATCTTCTGTGGTTAGACAATAAATCGAAGTTACAGCAGCAGCAGTGTCAGGCAAAAAAACGGATTTTAATAGAAACTCAGGCGAGGGCTTTCATTCATTGCGTCGTTCTTCACAGGGGGACTTTGGGCTTTCGGAGACGGAAGAATCTCGAATCTCACCCATCCCACCTGGATGACACATCGTAGTATTCAAGGGCAGGCGGCTGGTTATTTCACTCACCTGTCTTCCGCAGCGGAAAATCAGATTCGTATTTGAGCAGTGAGGAGGGCGGCTGAGGTATTTTGTACGGATGCGCACTGGTCACGGTTCCAGCTGGTAGGGATTCGCCCGAGGAGCTCTTCACCACGCCACTGCAAAAGAAATACGTAAGGATTATATATGATAAGCCATGGTGGGAGAGTGATGGGAATGGTGGGCGTGCATATAAAGATATATTTACAAGGAATTTTTACGGTCATTGCTGTGGAATTTTCCCATTTAAGTTGCAATTTTTGTGTTCGGTAGTTATCTCTTGTGTGTTAAGCCCATTTGGGTGTAATGAACTTGTATAACACTAGTATCGTTGGGGTGATAAACTTATTTGTAACTAAAAATGTATTCTTTTTTTTTAAGCTAAACTATACTAGTCAATATACCTTTATAATTCCTTATTATTCACCTGTTTTTAAATGCTTTTTCAAAAATGTTCTTGAAATGTGTTTAATAAAAATATATTTCGTATTTTATACCTATTATAGCACACCTATTAGGTGTTTATAAACGTTATACTTTAAATTTGAAATGGATTGTTTTTGTCTTAAGACCATTTTCTCGTCTGTAAGTTAAACTAAAATGACATTTTGGCTTTAATTTGTGTGAGTAATTTGCATGGGGCAGTTTATCGATGTGTTTGCGCTAAGCGCTTTTGTACACTGTTTGTGTGGCGGCAGAGAACCAGCTAGAGCTATTTCCTCTGCCTGCTTAATAGAAAGCTTTAGAACGCTGTTAAACTCGAAACTTTTTATTTTTCTATCATTTTCTAGACTTAAAACCTACTTTTAGTTTAACATCTGGGATAGAATAAGTCTCTTAAATTAAAGATTTGAATTTTTTATGATGTTGTAAGAATAAGGTTTTTTAAAACCATTTAAAGAAATAAATCAGTCAAAAATAAATATATTAAAAAATTTAAGTACTATTTTGTTCTATTTATTTTTTAAAATGTATACCCTATATCTCAAGGTGTTCATAGAGTCTAAAAGAACCCATCTTACCGATTCCTGTAGGGCGACGTGGTCGTGCCATTCGATTGCGCCGCCTGCGACTTCCTGCTCATGATGAAGCACTGTCAATGGAATGGGAATTTGATCAGAGCGGATCCTTTGGGGACTTTGGGTACTATGTGGACTAGAGATTGGATGTCTTACGTTGAGAATCTGTTTCACCTCGGGACTGGCATTGGCGCTACACTGCTTGAGTTTCATGCCGTCCCTGCCGCGTCCCTGTTGCTGTTGCTGCTGCTGTTGGTGTTGCTGCTGCTGCTGTTGCTGCTGCTGGTGTTGCTGATGCTGCTGGTGTTGCTGATGTTGCTGGTGTTGCTGCTGATGATGTTGCTGCTGGCGATGTTGCTCCTCAGCCACCGCGGCGGCTGCGGCGGCGGCTGTCACCATGCTCTCGTTTCGCAATTCCTGGAAAGCGCCATGTGAATTCACCGCAAACTGAATAATTACAATAAGTTCGAGAGAGAATCGTTTGTTTGTTTGTTGTTTCTTATCAAGGTGATTGGGGAAAGTAATAGAAATTTATGCAATTTTGTTGGTAAAGTTCAATGGTAGTTGCTGTTGCTATTGAGAAAATCTATCTAGCAAATAATCATTTGAGAAATTCAAAATTAGCTAGATATTTAAAATCTTATATTGATATTTCCCGGAAATATTTCTTTTAAAAAAGAAAGGTGACTAATTCTAGATCGTGCTACACATTAAAGATATTATAACACTTTGGATGCGCAAAATATAAACGCGGGGCAAAATAGAGATCGTCGTCAGTGATTTAGCGAGGCATTTTCTGGAACATTAAAGACCTGTGTGACATGGCTATATAGAGTGCTAACGATGGCCTTAGTCATCACACAAGCTGCTTCCGACACTTCCGGCACGATAATATAATATATTTCATACGTATAATTTCATTTCATCTCAATTCTCTTTTACTTTGTCGTTTGTTTTCATTTTTTTAAATATTTTTTTTTTTTCAATTTGTGTCTGTCGCCCCCACACAGCCATAGACATACTCACATCTCATCATCATCGTCATTATTATTATTATTATTTATAAAGACGAGCAAAAAAAAATAAGTAGATAGATAGCAACAGCAACCAAAAGACTTGTAGATCATCAACTGAGCTGCGTCGTCTACTCACTTGATACTTGTGCTCCAGTTGGAGTTTATGCTCCAATTCCATTTGCTTCGATTGCTCCTGAAACGTGTGTAAAAGCCGCTGCTTTTGCAGTTCCTGGCTCTTCTTGAGCTGTAAAAAAATTAAATAAATAAAAAATTAAAGTAAGTGTTACGGAAAAATGTATAAAAATATATTTAGAAGGAATAGCTACACGCTAGATGGCCAAATACTCATTGGTTTCAATTTTTACCTGATGTATCTGAGTTGATAATATTATTAAGATCTTCGTTAGATTTTATATTCTTAAATATGTAAGATGCTTAATTACATATTTTAGAATACGACGCTCATTAATTTGTAAGCTATTTAGTAAATAAAATATTCAATAATATAACAGCATCTTTGTAAATATGATTTTAAATTGATTGCGACTTAGAAACATGTTTTTGAATATTTTTTGTATGGAAAAAATCCCAATCGGATTGTATATTTTTGAGATACACACAAATATGTTATTTTAATCTCAAAGGTTGATTGAAATTTTGGTTTATGTTTAAACGGGAATTTTGATTAGGCATTGATAACTAATTTTTATATTTTAGTCATTTATTGCTCACTAAAGTTTATAGGTTACCAGTTACAAAAATCAAATCAGAGATAAACAAAAGTTTATCGATTAAGATTAAAATCAGAAACTTAATCGATTTTAATTAAATATAGAGGATTAGCGTTAATAAACGTTCGATTAGTTTAAGAAGTTGCACTTAATATTTTTTATGTTTCTAATAAATTATTATTTGATAAAGTTGCACTTCATATTTTTTATGTTTCTAATAAATGATTATTCGATAGAGTGTAATAAAAACATCGATTTTAATCAAAGAAAGCCGATCAGCGATAACAAAAATAAGATCATCGATTAAATTTGCAAAGTAACACTGATTGTCATTTGATTTTTTTTTGATCCTCTGGTTATTTTGGTTTTTATCTTCCTGATCACTTGTGTTCTTTGGATGTGTCATAATATTTGCATATTTCCCATGACCTTAGCCATATGCTTTCTCCTCTCTCTTTCTTACACTCTCTACTTTTCTTTTTGTGGTTATATGTGTGTGTGTGTGAGTGTCACCCCCCACGCAGTCACACATGCAAAAATAAACGGAAAATAAATAAATAAATACAGCAACTGATGTTTATCTCTTGTTTTTATTTGGTTTGTCTTCTTGCAATGTGAATTTCAGGTGGGAAAAAAAGGTGTTCTCACTTTTCGGCTTACTTCACTCAATAAATAATAATCTTTGGTTTCTGCTGCCACTTTTGTTTTTTTTTTAAGATTTTTGTGTAGTTTCTGGCTGTTTGCTTTCGATATTTGGTTATACACTTTTTGGCACTTTTTCATAGAATTTCCGAAAACTGCGTGTTTGGATTACGTTGAATGCTGTTTTGGTTTTAAGTTTTCTGATGCTTAGTTTTTCCTGTTAGTTCTGTTTTTAGTTTTTCTGTTTTTTTCTGTTTTTTTTTTTTTGTATTTTTATTTTTATTTTGTATTTTCCTTTTGGTGTTTGGCGCGTTCGCTTTGGCCTCGGCATTTGCTGGGAAATGAGGGAGGCGCTTTCATTTCAGTTTCACTCGGCCGACTGGCCCAACTGGCGAAAAAATCAAATATAAACACAAATTTCGAAACTGTTACGATGGATGCCTGAATGGATGGCAGAGAAAGAGCGCCGCCAGAAGAGCACAAAGCGGAAGAGAGGTGAAGAAAGCGGCAAGCAGAAGACAGCGGGCGACAGAGAGAGAAAACTTGGGTAGACAAATGGGCGTTTGGCTTCTTCGATAGAGGACCGTCAACAAAATGATTACTCAAACATCTCAACAATTGCATCTTACACGGCAAAAAAAAATAGAGCTACAATGGTACACTGATATTACTAAAGTTTTAGACAAAGAGTCTTAGATAAATACCAAACATGTCACCTTTTTTCAATATTTTGGAAAAGTATATTGAGATATTTTTAAGCTTAGTAGTTAATATCTTTCATTTAAATAATTCTAAATTATTCAATTCATTTTTGTATGTGTTTTATATTTTCTCTATGGGTTATAGTTGGATAGATTCTCTAGTCTTCAATGGTATAGATCCATTAACATATAGAAAACTTAATTTCGGTATATTTTAGCTATAAACTAAAATAGAGTATTTTCTTACCATGTAATAAATGTATTTTTGAGTCATTTAAGTATTATATATACTATCAATCATTTGTAGGATGTTTTAGATATTTTAAAAGCAAGATTTAATATTGTAGCATAATCAATCCTGGTTAAGATTGATTCAATATTGAAGACATGATACATTGATAGACGAAAATACCCAGGCACAAAACATGCGATTGACCAAAGGTCACATCGGCTAAAACTAGATTTCTCCCTACAGAGGAACAGAGTCTTTACCATATGCCACATAGCTCATAGATTTCTAGGAAACTGCAATCCCCATCCCCCCCAAAAGCACCCACCACCCCCTGCAGCGACGCCCGCTTGCACAACATTCGCCAGTTGCTATGGCCAATGCTATAATTATAAATACCTGCGCTATAATTATAGCAGGGCATAAGACAACACACAGGCACGCCCATATAAATAGAAACAGTGCGGATCGGAGCGGGTTAAAAACAAAAAAAAAAATGTAAAATAGAAGAAGGGCGGAGACACAAACAAATTAAATGAAAATCCAATGAAATGAAATGAAAGCGGAAAAATGCAATGTCTGCCCTGACTCAATGATCATCCAAGTGTGATGATGACGATGATTGGTTCGAATGAGGAATTTCTGGAAATTGGATGGATAATAGATTCAGTGGAAACGCTTTAGTAATCGATCACAGATTGCTCTATTTTTAGACTTGTGAAAAAAAAAATGTTTTGTATTTTAAGAAGATCATTATAATGGCAAGTGGTATCTAAAAACACGTTAATAATATTAACAAGCCCTTGTTTTATTGCTCATAATGAAACTACAGTGAGATTTGCTATAAATTAGCAACGAATTTCCGGAAATTCTGAATTTTATGATTCAGAGTAATAGTTATAGTACTTTCTGTAATAATGTATTATAATGGGACTAGCTGCACCCACTTTATAAAGTATCTTAACTGTTTCTGGGTTTTATATATCTTTCTTTCCCATCGCATTTGAATTCCAATCCTTACGCTCTCTTTTTCCCAAAATGCCAAACTATTCTTGCCCAATTTGTGCGCGAAGATCAAAGATCAATGATCATCTTCATTAAGATCTTGTCAACCCTCCCACTCCACCCCACCACCCACTCCCCCCATCAATTTTTGCTAATTTGCATTTTGCTCGTGCCACCGAAACCGAAAAAAAAAATACGGAAAACGAAAACAGAACACAAAATGCTAACGGAAAATAGACTGAGGAATTCAATAAAACATTTTCACTGATTGGCAATTGTTCGTGTGTGCGTGATCTAACCAGCCAAGTGTGTGTGTATGTGTGTGTGTGTGTGTGTTCTTTTTAAAAATAAAACCCGCAGAGTTTATAAAAGAACAAAAATAAATTCAAAGGAAAAACCGAAAATAACAAAAACGGCAAACGCGTTGATGAAAACCGAAGGCAGCTCAAATGGGAGGAAAATGGGCAAATTACACAGAAAAGAAAAAAGTGATCAAATTAAAAAAAACATTATCAATCTTAATTTTTAGGGATATTTGGGTATTTTTATTTCATTAAATAGACTTTTTATCAACACTTCAAATTAATACCAAATTTTTATAAATAAAATACTATCTAAAATACCAATAAAAATACCAATATTTAAAAATACCAATAAAACCTTGCCTTGAAAATGATTTATTTATTATATTTTTTATTTAATTTTTGCAATAATGCTGCCTACTTTTTTTAGTGCATAGAGTGAGGGTAAAAAAAGGTGGGCGGCGGGTTGTGGCAAGCAGAAAAAAGAACACGTCGACCATTATGCTGCATATAAAACACTCTTTAACGCTAAAAATAACGATTTCAAAGGAAAACAAAACAAAAGAAATGCGACGAGAAAAAAAAGTAAAAATAAAAACCAAAAATTACGACAAAAATAAGAAAGCAAACTGCAGCCAAAAATCGAGGCATAAATAAATCCCCAAGACTATAAATTGAATGCAAGCAGTACCAGAAATACGAAGAAGCAGCAGCGCTCCTCAAAGAACAGGGGCGTTGGGGGGAGGGGGAGGGGGAGGGGCGTGGCAGGAGCAGGGGCAGGGGTACAGAGGGGGTCGAGCAGGTGGGCTGCTACAAATGCACATGCTGGCCATCGTGCCCGGCTACAGTGGGCCCAAGTCAGAGAGACAACGCAAATGCCTATAAATGTTGTCCGGTACAGTAAACAACCGCTAAAACCTTTTTACAGATAGGATGATTTTATAAATGATCGACGGCATCCTCCTAACATTCCAGTAAAAACATATAGCATACTTTCTGAAGCTCTTATAGATGATTTTAAATCTCTATAGATCTCTTGACAGCCCCATATAACACCATGATTTAATTTTATTGATTTTTAAGGACTAACAACTCTTTTTCTTTTTCTAAACACATATTTATAATTTGTGTAAAAACATATAGTATAATTCTTTCCAACGCTTTTATACGTGTTTTTAAATCTCTAGAGATCTTTTGAAAACCCCATATAGCACCATAATTTCATTTGAATTTTTTTGAAGGATTGAGTTCTTTTTTGTTTTTTAAAAACCTAATAATAATAATAAGCCACTCTGAATCATAAAAATAATATAATATAATGATATTTTTGGAAATACTACCACATTTAATCAAATATTATCACATCTATTTTAACATCAATGTTTTTATAATAATAAAAATATAAAAAATAGTACCTTAGTACGAAAAGAACAACCCCCAAATAATTACAATTAAATCGTTTTCTTATTTTAAATATTTTTTTAAAACTCGTATTGTCCATTATAGGCAGTATCATCTATATATCCTCTGCACTCGCATCTTCTCCGACATTTCTCGCTCGCTGTGCGGCTCTCTTGACTCGGTTTCTGCCTATTTTTAGATGATTTTATTTAAAAAATGCGCAAAAACTCATACATATTTTCGTAGTGAAAACAATAAATATAGAATCATTAAGTTGTACACGCGTTTAAATTTAGACTCCCAACAAGAGGAGCAACATCGCATCGGCATCGGCACACACACTCGCTTGATTACACGCACCACACAAGAGCCAGGCCAATAAAGTATAAATAAAGCGGAAAACGAACGAAAAGCTCAACAAAAATAAAACAGCAAAGGGGGAAAATGTGGAAAACCCATCTGGAAAAACTGGACAAAAGAGCTGGCCAGCAATACGAAATGGTGGGCCAGATCCTACAGGATTGCAGGTTCTTTAAACTAGAATCGTACTTTTCCAAGTTAGGAGTTGGGATTTTTATTTAAACTTAGTATGCATAGATAGTATCTATAAGATACATATCTTTAAGTTGAACTAATCTTTGAGTTTCGGATGCTTTGCTATTTTTTTTAAATATATACTGTTGTCATGATATTATTATGATATTGATAATAACTTTCCGATTAGTACAGATGTTTTATAAACCATCTATCTTTCCTATCATCAACATTTCACAATATAATGACAAGAAACCCCGAAACCCATTGTTCAAACAGCACAAATCGCAGAAAACTAATGAAATTCAGTGACGACTACGATGACGACATGTTTTATATTTAAAATACCTCAGGCCAGGCTGCGGAGTTATAAAATATTGATAACCTCACTGATTTTTCCTAACCTGCCCATGGAAACAAGTGTTTACTAAAGCTTATATTAGGATTTGCTTCTGCATTAGGCCCCATACACTTGTAATGACTTTATTAATAATTCTGTAGTAATTATGATGATATGATGATTTATAATGTTACAAATGTAGCAAATCCCTAAAACTGGTATATTAACGTGTGATATTATGAAAAAACCTCCCGAAATCAAACTACCCATGGTGCTATTTCATCAGGGAACGTCTAGATCGATTCATAGCGATGTTGGGAACACTCACCTCCATGATCTGCTGATCGATATCCACCGCCGAATGGGGCTTGAAGTCCAATGTCAGAGTGCCCGGCGTTATGTGCAGCAATCGCTCATCGCTTCCGGCTTCTGATGGCAGATCTGCGAATTGACAATGTAAACACACGACTGAGCAAGCGAAATTGAAACGTTTCGGAGAGGGATATATAGATTCGTGTATATTTTATATACACATATAAATACACGTATATAGATAGAGACTCTATCGGGATTTTGGAGGAGGTGTGACTGGCTCTCCGAACCGATTATGTAGATAAGGCGGCGCTTATCAGACGCTTTTAAAAATAAATCTAAAACGTATTTTTTTCGACGCGTTGGACCCTCGATGGTTGGTATTTCTGTTTGTAAATGTGTGTATTTACACAGGCAAAAATATACTCCAATTATAACATTGTTTTTTATATGTTTTTTAAAGATGTATAATATTTAATAGAAATTGGGAGAACTTTTCTGCATTTATTAAATATTGGAAATATTTAGAAATAGAAGAGTACTTCAAAATGTCTCTTTGATTATTTTAAAAAATACGGTTTTGCAGAATTTTTTCAGGCTCTTTATACTGATCTTCTTTTTTATTTTTTCTTAGTGTATAACTATTTATAGTAACCTTGTACAGTACAAGTTAACAGCGATTACAACGATTTCCTCTCGACTTTTGCTTTAGCTTTTTTTCTTTTTTTTTGTCGCACGTGACGCCCAAGCAACTTTTATTTTACCTCTCTCTCTCTCTATCTTTCTCTTTTTCTCTCTGTCTTCCTCTCTTTTGGCCCGCTCAAAAATTTTGATTTGCTGCCAACGAAAAATAACGAAACAAAAATCGAAAAAATCAGGAAAAATCGGTTGGAAAATATTTCATTGATAAACACTGGTAGCAAAGCTAAAAGAGAGGAGATGTTATTTCCATCTCTCTCTTTTCATTCTTTTTCTGGACTAATTGCGCGCCAATAAGAATGCGGAGATGACTAACCGAAAAGTCCAATTAGTAATGATTGCCTCTCTCTCTCTCTCTCTCTCTCGCTCTTTTTGTTTCTGACAAGCGCTGATCTAATCAGCAAAGTCAAGTTTTTTGGTCTAGAAATTGATTTTAATTGAATATTGAGCTGTTATGTGGTGGGGCTAAAAATAGAATTAAAAAGAGCAAAGCCCAAAAGCAGCAACAAAACAAAAGCACAAACGCATGTGCATAATGTATGTAAATATGTACATATGCTACAGTTAAATTTAAATTAATAGAACCTTTTACGTTATTATTAAAAAAAAAAAAAAAAATTATTTTCCAATAGATTTGTTATTGATTTGGAGTTTATTTTTGAGTATATAATTTTGACAGTACGTATTATTAAAAATGTAAAACCTTTTTGACAAAGGACATCACGCACATCCTGACCTATAAATAACCAAACTAAGTTATATTTTTTTTTTGCTTTTCCTTTGGCCTTATTAATTTGGCCGCAGCTGTGGGTGGGGTGTCTACAAGTGTGTGTGTGTGTCGGTGCATATCTAACTGAACAGGCCGTGACCTGCTGCGCTGCTTGCTGCGCTGCTTGCCGCTCTGCTTGGCCGTTCTATTTTTAGCCGCATTTATAAATCGTGCATGGTTTTGGGGAGTATATTTAGAAGTGGCAACACACAGATACTACAACTACAGACACAACTACAACAACAGCAGTGCATATTGCACAAAAACACAGAGAAACAAGTACAAAAAGTGAAACGAGATAAAATACAAAGGAAAGCACAAACAACATCGCTTAGGTACATATGTACATAAGTATCTGTAGTGTTGTGTGAACTTAAAACGTGAAGACAAAATCCAAGTGGAAATTTCAGGCAAAATTCAAAGGAAATCAAACGCGAAATGGAAATTAGATGCGAATTTGCAATTCCCTTTTGCCAACTATAAACTTATTTTACATAATGCTTATTTACAAGAAGAGCCACACACATTTTAAAATATCTTCCTATCCAAAGTTAGTATGAAGTATGAAGTTTTTACACAACATACATATTTACATACAAAGATAAAAAAACACAAAGAACATTTTTGCATAATTAACTAAAATGCGACTTAAATCCACATTTTCGACTTATGAGAGCCTTACATTTTTGTTTTACATGTGTAGGGTATTCCCAAGTTAACAAGCCCTTTGAAAAAGATGATAAGAGAGGAGGGAGAGGCACAACAAGAGTGCAACTACAGGTGCACTAAGTGGGAGAGGGATAAGGCGAGAGAAAGAGAGTGGCTTGCAATCAGCTGTTTTTATTTCTTTTTGGCAATGCCGTTTTAAATAAATGCAAATGCGTATCAGCCGCCCCCTCTCTCTCTCTCTCATTCTCTCTCTTTCTCCTTCTGTCTACCTCTAACTCCCCCTCTTCTAAAGCACTTTTTTCCAACTTCAAGGTCAATTCGTGTGTTGACATAGAAACCAGGCAACCAAATGGCACAACAAAAACAAAAGCACGTGTATGAGTGTGGTCGCAGAAGAAACAACAACAAAAAAAGACAGAAACAAAAATAAAAACCGTATAAAATTTTATGAGAGGGGCGCTGCTGTCATTGAAATTGAAACTGAAATTCAATTGGAAATTGATACGACGAAAACAGAGAGTGAGAGAGCAGCTTGACATATTCCGCCAAACGCCCCCCCCCCCCCCCAATCAAACCCACACCGCCCCTCCCCCCCACACACTCCTTGTTTCGCGCTCTCTCTCTCTTTTTGTCTCTCTTTCATTTATTCCTTCCTCAATAAGTTTGTTTTGAGTGATAGCACGGTTTCAATGTGTCTGTGTGTGTGCAGTTGTATGAGTATTGTGTGGGTAAATTTCCAGCGCGCGCATTCTAAAAATAGAAACAACAACAGCTAAACTTTTGGGCCAGGCCAAAAAGAACACAAATACGTACGTTCTCGTTGTTGTTGTTGTTGGTTTTTGTATGTTTTAAAGTTCTAGGCCATAAAACTCGACCAAAAAAAAACACCCAAAATATAAAAACACCCCGATTCTGCGGGTTTACCTTGACAAATGTAAAGCCCACCATAACAAAGATAAATATAACTAGAGTAGTTATTCTATTCCGCGTTTATCTTTCGGTTATAATATCGTATTATATTAATAGGTTACAAGATCTTAAGATCTGAAAATGTGTTCTACCCAATAAAAACCAATGTTCTTGATAATAGAGTACTTCAAAGTTGAATTAATAGAACTTTGGAATATAATAATTTTAATAACTTTAATTGGGCGTATCGCTGTAACCGTCCCCTAACCTTCGGATAAGGTCGACAATAACCAAAAAAAAAATACCATAAAAACATGTAGTACATACCCCTTGTTGATATAAATAATTTTTCTTATCTAGAAATGCTTGATTTCAGGAACTAATATTGAAACAAACCCATGTAGATATGTTTCAATAAACATTAATTACTATATAGAGTATATTTAGTGATTTACTTTACTTCTAATCGAACTGTCACATTAAAACTTGGGATTTATTTTCAAAAATGACTCATCTAATTTGTGGCAAAATGCAGAACCCACAAGGTAACATTTCCTTTACAACGAAATGAATAAATGAACGCAACGACGACGCCGCTTTCAATAATACTACCCCATGGTGAAGACAGTGGCGTGCCGGGGTTTTCTGGGCGGGGGTTTGGGTTGTGGGTTGTGGATTGTGGGGGGGAGGGGGTTACAAGGGCGATACATAAACCCTAACGATTTTATATAACAGCTGAAACACACAGAGACAGGCACAAACGGCGAACCGAGTTTTATTCTTGGAATGCCATTACAATAAATGCTCCACTGGCACTGGAGAAAACAAAATAAGTGGGGTTGTTGAGGTTTGGGTGGTTCGGGTGGTTCGACCTTCTTGCAGGTGCTGCGTGTTTCACAATGGAACAACAACGAACGAAACAAAAGTAACAAAACAGCTAAAGGAAAAACTTTTCACTTATTGCGTCTTAGACAATCAATTTTGCCCCACATGGGGATGCGATGTGAGTGTGCTTTAATGCAAAGCTGGGCAATTAATTTCTATATATAAATATGCCCCAAAAGTTCATTTCCGAAAGAATGCCAGAACAGTACGGAAATATTATTAATCTACCGAAATATTCAGGAAAAACATTGGATAGATTTATTAAAGAGAACTGTGTAAACAAGACACTCATTATTCAATATAATAAATAACAATGTCAACAAACAAAGTGTCCATGGGTCTACAAGTCGTAAAGATTATTAAAGTTTTAATTTACTTAGGAATTAGTAAAGGGTAACTGGGCCAACTACAAAAGTTCAGAAGAATCCCCTGGACCAAAAGTTTGCAAAGTTTGTGAAAAGTTGCAAAGTGTTTATTGATGTGTTTAGTTTAACAAAGTCTTTAGCCTTCAATTTAATAAATTGGATATTTAAGTTAAGCTTTGCAGACAAAGTGCAGTAATAATAATGTAAAATAGTTTTAAGAACTTTATAATGGGTAAAGTTGGCACTATGAACTACAAATTAAAGGACCTTTTGCAACAAAAACCTTGGAAAAGCAATAACTCAATTTTGTATTTAGATGAGGGGGACCCATTCAGTTCGAAATAAGTGGATAATGCTAATCATTATTGAACGATTTAATTATTAACTTGGCTATTAGCAAACAGAGGGCAAAACCCATGATTACAAATTCACCCCGCTTTTATTTTTTCTACCAACAAGTCCTTGGATGAAGGTAAAGGCTAATTATAAAATCAACCCTTGACATTGCGAAATTTGCCCCCAAAATAAGTGGATTATAATAGCTATTAACCAAGGCAGGGCAAAACTTACTGATTAATAATTCAATGCTTTTTTGCAACAAGTTCTTGGTCACGGAAAAATGTAATTTTCGTTAATTTTTAATGGGATATACATGCCCGCCAGCTGGACTTGCACTGGAAAAACGTTATTGCCAAGCAATTAGACAGAGATCCTAAAACCCGGATTGGAAAATGATTCTAGAGACGACGAAGAGAATCACCGAAATCCCCGGAATCCCCTGAAATCTATGGACGCGTCGGCGGATTGCACGTGGCAAAAACAAAACAGAGAAGACGAGGGAGGGAAGACGTGGCCCGGTTCTCCGGGTTTCACGGGCTTTACGGGTCTCCGGGTCTCCGGGTCCGGTCGTCAGTCAACAATCCACACTCACACACACACACAGCATACATTTACACCATCCATTTGAAAGGCAAGTAAATTTTGTTGCTGTTGCTTTTGTGTCTAAAAATAGACGAAAATCGATAAACGAATGTTTTTCTTTTTGGTTGCAAACAAACAGACGGAGAGCAGAAGCGAGCACGAGAATCGTGGAGCGAGAGAGCTGAGCACGAAGCGAAGATTACGGGGCTCCAAAACCATCCATCTCCACCCACCACCCACAACCCATCACCGCCCACTTTCTCGCATTTCCCCATCCCCATCCATCCACCCATTTTCCAGTCCATCCACGTGCTTGGCATTGGCAGTGGTTTCGATGGATGACCAAAAAGGAAAGCGTCCAGGATTGGAGCTGAGCAGTTAGCTATTTTCTGGCTTAAACACCCCAAGATACAATAAGACACTTAAAAAAACTCATCTTCAAAAAGATGTTTCACTTGAATTCGATTAGTTAAATTTTTGAATATTTTTAGTTTTATAAAAGTTCAATTTATATATATAAAAAAAAGTAATTTTCGAAACTATAAAATAGAGAATAAAAATAATTACCCATTGAAATATACGAATTTTGGGTATCCTAGAAAATGACTTTAAAACTCGTTTACGTTACGCTTTTTTCAAAAACTATTGAGCTGTTGAAGAAACAAGTCTAGTGCCTATTTTCAAATTTCAATTTAAAAAATATTTTAGGCCATCTCTATTGGCGCGGCCACGCCACCTAGCGGAGGCTAGCGGTACCATTAACTATGCCAAAGCCTTTTTAATTTAGTTGTTCATAACATTTGAACAATTTAGGCGACTGATACGATACTCAGCATTTAGATAGGTATGGATCAATAAAATCTATTACAATTTGCACTTAAATAAACTCTTTAAAAATGTGGGCACCAAAAAGACTTTAGCGTTGTTGGCTTTAGAGAGAGGGTGGCACTTTTCTGAAACAAACTTGCACTGCTTAAGAACCCTTAGAATCTGTAAGCTTAATCCCAACTTTCTTGCTTTTATAGTTTCCGAGATCTTAGAGTTCATACGAAAAAACTTGGCTTGGGATAGACTAATATATATGTACATACTTTATAGGGTCGTAAAAGCTTCCGTCTGCATGACGAATACAATATACTCTTTTCATCAAGAACCCCAACAAAAAAAGGGAAATGGAGACGACTTTGAAAAAAAATTGGAAGTGTAAGCTGAATGGAAGTTTATTTACAAAATATTTGATACTAGCAGATATATAATTTTTCAAGCTTATAGTAATTGATGTAGTGGCAATGAGAAGACACCGACAGCACTGGTCAGGACCAAGACCAACCACCCAAGTATAATTCCCCGCCCCAAATATCTATTCTGTTTGCCGCGCAGAGGCGACCCGACCATGGACAACGTTCTTGTTGTTGCTCTCGGCCTGCCCGGGACGAAAAAGTTAGTAGATCCCACTGTACAGGCATACCCCCTCCACCCCATATCAACCACCCGGGAGAAGCAACAAACGCACAGTGGTTCAAGCTGTGCAAATATTTAACTGATTTGATTGACGGCTGGCAATGAAGTTGCTCTCGAGATAGGGAAAGAATTTGAATAGACCATCTGCCACATAAAATAGCATACAAATAAAAGAGTTTAAGTCATTGTTTTCGACCTATGTAGGGGATTTAAACATTTGCTAAATTTATGCAATGACTGAAACCAATAAAATAGTAAGTAGAGAAGATAAAATAATTCTTGGTTAGAAAAAACGATAAGGAGATTGAAATGATCTACATATTTTACATTTATAAAGCAATCAGTCACAACATATTAATATTCTTTTTTTTCGTATCTAAAGAAAAATGTTTTAGTTTAAGGTTGAATTATCTAAAAGCATTTATCTAATAGAAAACTTTTTGAACATAAGCTGAACAATTCTTTCAGCCTTTTAATTCCAAAGCAATTTGGTCATAACTTTTCGTCCATTCACTTGCAAACTGTGCTTAGTGTGACCAGCTTCGACAATACGCTGCTCATTATTCTGCCTTATAATTCCCAACCAGTTTGCGCAGAGCTTTTAATCCCGTTTTTTTTTGCCAACTCAGCCCAATGTGCATCATCCATTGACAACGCAGTTCTGGCCCGCTTTTGTGTATGTGCTTATTACAGTTATTTTTGGAAGCCAACACACACTGCCACACAAAACACTCACCCAGCCAGACTGTGTAAGCTTTTGTTTGAGCATGTATGTGTGAGGTCTGTGTACATTTTGAGTTATGTATTCCGAATGTTGTTAATGCTATAGCCTATATGCAGGTTACATACGAACAGCCAACAATCGAGGATATAATATAATAACCAACCAATAGTGCCCTAAACTAGAACCCAATATATATCTAGGGGATGGGGGATTTTGCAGGGTCCTTCGTTCCCACTTACCGTGTATTGGTATTCTATCGTCGGGACTAGACATTTTGCATATGGAATTGGGGGAGGGCGGAACCTGCAACAAATCAGAAAATCAAATTAAACAATATGCCAAAAAAATTAAGTTAAACATTTTACAAGGATTGGCTTTGTTTTATTTATCCAGAAAAAGGAATTATAACCACTGCAAGATCTAGTTCCCCAATCATTAAGCATTTTTGTATTTTCCATTAGATGAATTCAAGGCCTAACACAAAGAATTTTTAATTTAAAATTATATCTCCTTTTTTAAATTTAAAATGTGAAATACATAATTACAAAATTAAAAACTTTATTTCAGTGCTATCTTAAAACTTAAAGATTACTTTTATCTGCACTTAACGCCTGAGTCATTCTGAGAAAAATCTTAACCCATGGAAATTCCGAACTTACTCAAACAAAAACAAGGAACAGATTTCATATACATATTTGTGTGTATATTTCTTTTATATGAATGATTCCGCCAGAATGCGAATCAAAAATTTCATTCAAAATAAATTCTGAGAAGCAGATAAACATGGAAAAATAAACCGAACAACAAGTGCCTGATAAGCCAAGAATATTTGGAAAATTTTTGTTGTCATTTTTGGAACTCCGATAATGATATGCAAAAATAAATTCTTGTTTGTTTCTGTTTTTTTTTTTTGTTTTGTTTACAGTCGAGTGCACTTGATAGGGGAATTTTTGCAGATCGGAAATAATTTAAATGTTCTTTTTAGGTGCGCCTTTTTGGGGGCGTGGTTGAAAAAAAAAGAACGATAACGATATGCCCTATTGACCTTCACATACCCCACACAAAAATATACATATGTACAAACGTACATACATATGTGACGCACAAAACAATTTCCGTTCACTAATTACACGAGCAAACTGAACATAAGCGACCAACCAGAAACCCAAATGGCAGAAATTGCATTGTAAATAAATTACGGTTAAATCGGTTTCAAATAGGTACAATACCTTACGACTTTATTCATTAATAATTCAAGCAATTAATTCCAGAAGGTCCCTTGCAATGAAAGAAAAGTAAGAAGGTGACGTGGAAGTTCTTAGAAAAGGAGGCGATTATAAATTCAAGGCCAACACTGTCCAACGCCTCAAATGTTTGGCTTTTACGTCTTTTGGTTTCGAATAATTATTAATTTAACTTTTAATTTAATTGCTTTACTCATACTACCAAAGGCAAGGTCACACTGGAAATAAAGTCAGAATAAACGTTAACAAGGCCACACTGTAAAGACGCACAAAAAAATCCTGCTCTACAACAATGAAGCAAAACAAATCGAAATACAAAACAATTAAATGTGGTTTAGAGGCTTTCTTGAGCGTTTCTCTATTTAAAAATAATAGATAACATTTTCTTAATTTAAGACGACTAAAACAAAGAAAAGTTTAATTCACTTTTATTCAATTTTATCATTTTACAAATGTCAAATTGAGTGTGCCCGCTTTAAATACTACAAATTAATACTACTATACGACTTAACATGTTGTCCTGCGGTTTTTCCACTTTAATATAAAAACAAAATTTCCGCCATGAGAGCACAAGATGGAAACTTTCCTCAGCTTTAATTTTTTGATACATAATAAACAAATTAAGTCGAGGGGCGGAGAGTGGCTAGAAGACTAAGTTGGCAGCCTCTATTTATCGTGGCGAGTCAAGTCATATTAATTATAGTCATCAGTGGGTTGCATTGTGAGCTAGAAATGCGTGTTTTCCACTGAGACGACACAAGCAAAAAACAAATTACGTTGTAAAATATGTAGTTTAAAAACAGAAATAAGTAGCGTAAGAAAAAATTAGATAAACAGTGAATCGATTGGACCTGTTAAATGATTTACGATCCTGGTTGCAGGTGACCAGTTCCCGGGCTCTTATAATTCCCAAAAGATTGCTTTTGTATCTGACCTAATTTCAATTGAACTAACTAATGTGTACAGTGGGATAAAGATCGAAAACTTTTAACATCTGGCAAATAAATTGCGATACTACTACTAAAATATTAATATATTATAGTAACATTTTTTTTAAATATAGTTTTTAATATAAACATTTTAAAAAATCTTTTTATATTGCAAAAACAATTTGCATTGATTTTTTTGAAAGAGGAACACAGCCCAACTGGCCAATTGGAAAATGTTTAACTTGAAGTTGTTTAAAACTTTCATTTTCGAATTTGAATTGAAAGGGTTTATGAGATACGCTTAATGGGTGACCACTGTATTTAAATAAATGGATAAAGAGGAAAGAGAGAGGGACGAAGAGAGATCCAACAGAAGAATGAGAAGTTCGGCTCAAAGCGAACGAAACAACAACAACAAAAGATCCGCAAATTCCATTCTGCTGCCGTTGCTTTTGTTGTTGTTACTGTTTTATTTTTTCTGGCATCATGTTGATAACCAAGAAAAGAGAAGGAGAAGAAGTAGATGGAGAGAAGGAGGAGGAGGAGAGCGAGAGAGAAGAGCAGAAGAAGCGAGCACAACATAAACCAGTTCAATGCGCTTTGCAGTGGAGCTTTTATTATTTATTTTTCTTCTTTTTTTTTTTGGGTGGCAGCCACATTTACAGCAACTTTACTAAGTGAACAAAATCAAATCATCAAATGCAGAGAGGGGGAAAGAGAAAGCAATAAAATGAGATGGGGAGGTGGGGGAGAGAGCGAGAGCACTTCATTTAGCACGCACACACTTGTTACATAAATAACGGCGAATCGAGTGAGAAGCAAAACAGACGAAAAAGAAGTCTGGCTGATCTAATAAGAATACACGGGGCGAGGACAAACAAACAAACAAACATAAATACCTCTTCCAAGTGGTGCAAACTGCTTGCTGCTGCTTTTGTTGTATTTTGTATTGTCGCTTTTCCAACTTGTTCCACAAAATGCGAAAAATGATTAACGAAAATATAAAATAAATAACGCACGCTCTCGCTCTCTCCTCCTCACACTGCGTGTGTGTGTTGGTGTATTCGTATATATATATATATATATATATATATACAGTACGTTGAATTCACGACTTTTTTAAGTTAATTTTTGTGTTGTTGCTGCTGCTGCTGCTGCTTTTTGTAGACGTATATTTTTGCGCTCTTTTTCGCCTTTTTGCTTTTTACCTTCTTTTGCTTTTGCTTTTCTCTTTCGTTACTTGTTGTTGCTGTTGTTATTTTTGTCACTTCACATTTCGCAGTTTCTTTTTGGTACTAGTACTACGACAACTGCCTCTGCTTTTGCCTCTTCTCCTCATCATCGCTCATTCTTTTTTGCTTGTTGATTCGCCCACAATTTATTTTTTCTCGTTTTCTCGCCGTTTTTGCACGCGCACGCACTTTGTGTTGTTGTTGTTTTGGTGTTTCAAAAAAAATTAAATTTTTTTGCCGTGGAAAAACAGAAAAAAAACAAGAAAATATCCTAGACGAATTTTCGGGTTTTTATTTGGGGGGAAAACGCGCGATCTGCGGTTGGACTATCTGGGGCGACAAATTTCTATGTTCCGAATCCGAAACCGAAGCGACGATTCTTTGATTATTTTATTAAAATAAAAAGGCAAATACTCGTGTGACCAGGCGGCGAGTGTGACCGCAACAGTGCCGCAAGAAATACCGGCAACAAAATGTACTAAATGGAGTAAATACTAAACAGGCATATAATGGTATTTAAATTTAGGCGCGGTTTTCCAAAGAGGGTATTCTCTCATTTTGTTTAAGCCTAAAATAAATGTAAGCTATTTTAATTTTGTTTTTATTAAACAATTATCTCTTTCTTTGTTCTCTGTATTACTGGAATCACTAAATTTTATAAATGATATTAGTTGGTATTTTTCTGATTGAATGAAGGTGGCGGTCACTCTGATTATTATAGAGATGAATGTTTTTAATAATTTAGATTACAACCATTAAATTATTTTTTAATTTTATTTTTTTAATTTTATTTATTCTTGTGTGTAACTAAATGCTTAAATTATTTTATTATTATTATTATTATTCAAATCGCAGGTACTATCGATATCGCAGAACTATCGACTGCAGGCCATCGCCAGCTTGTTATTGTTTGGTTTTGTTTGGGCCCCCTTTGTTATGTTGGTTGGGAGGAAAAACGCGCAACGTGGACGTGGACTAGAACAGAGCAGCACAGAGCATAGCTCACGGCGCACCGCACACCTGCTCCACCCCCTCCCGAAGATACGAGAAACACCTGTGCGCCCCCGCCCACCGACGCGCCGCCGCCACCGAGTGTTTTTCACTTCGTTTTCAGTTCTCGAGAGGGTTTTTTCAAGATAGCATCTGGTTGATCGCGATCTGATGATCTGGCAAATGCGCACAAATATACAAACACAGATAGCGCGCATATAGGAATCCGGCGATCCATGAGCGAGGCGAAGATGAACGGACGCTCCATACGCATCAACCGGCTGCCCGCCACCATTGTGGCCATCCTGCTGACCATCGTCCTGGTCTATTTCCTCAATTTCCACCAGGAGGAGCGACCGGCAATCTATGGCATGCTGCGCAGCGAGAATCCCAATCGGGTTAATCTTCGCAAGATGCTGATCGCAGCCATTCAGGCGGCCCAGCGTGGCGGTCTAGAGGTCCTCGATGTCGCGAGGAGTCGCAAGCTCAAGGAGCGCAGCAAGGGCAAAACGGACGAGGGCGTCGATGATCCGTTCACGGACGCCGATGGCCGTTCGCATTGTGTGATGAAGCAGGGCCTGCAGCGCATCTTCCCCCGCGTACAAATCTTCTCCGAGGAGGACAAGGAGCACTGCAAGCAGGCGCACAGCTACGATCTGGATCCCACCGTGCTCCACGAAACCGCACAGATCCCGGATGTGGCTGTGAATGCGCAGGATGTCACGGTCTGGGTGGATCCCCTGGATGCCACCAAGGAGTTCACCGGTGAGGATGGGCAGGGGTTTCCCGCCAAAGTTCAAAATGCTAGGCTTTTAGTTTGTATATTTCTTCAAGTGATGTGTTCTAAAGCATTTCGAATGGTTTTCTATGTTTTGTAAAATGTTAACTTTCAATGTTTGTCTGTCAAATCTAAAAAGAGTTCTTAGGTTTTATTTTTCTTAATTTTTGGTGTCGCAAAGTGACATATCAATTATAAAGCACACTAATTGCTTGCTTTCCCATTCGCAGAGGAGCTGTACGAGTACGTGACCACCATGGTGTGCGTGGCTGTGGCCGGAAGACCCATCATCGGCGTGATCCACAGCCCCTTCAATGGCCAAACGGCCTGGGCCTGGGTGGGCAACTCGATGTCGGAGTACCTGGCCAGTCTGCATCCGGAGCATGCGCCCGACAACCAGGCGCCTATCATCACAGTGTCGCGTTCCCACACGGCGGGGGCTAAGGATTTGGCCCGGGGCATCTTTGGCGAGGATGTCAACCTGCTGACGGCGGCGGGTGCTGGCTACAAGGTGCTCCAAGTGGTGGCCAACAATGCCACTGCCTATCTGCACACCTCTAAGATCAAGAAGTGGGACATTTGCGCCGGCGATGCCATACTGCATGCATTGGGCGGCACAATGACCACGCTGAATGACCAGTTGATCAACTATGGCCCAGAGGAATCGCCAGTGAATACGGAGGGTCTGCTGGCCACCTTGGAGCGGCATGATGAGTACATGGACAAGTTGTCCAAGTACCGGGCGGCACACAATGGCAAGCTGGCGTAGGGGTTAGCCAGCTCCAGCACTTGGACCCTCAGGGGGGTTAGCCACACCCCCCTTCCCCACACCCCCTGTTCCAGAGGAAACCCCCTCTCCACTGATCATCGTTTAGGCAACATTCAAAAATAGCTCTAAGTTCTAAAGATGGAAACCTGTTTTTTCGTAATCTCGATATCTGTTTGTGCGTGTGCTTCTTTTTTTTGCATAATTACGTTGGTTGTGCGGCGGCGCGGCGGGGTCATGAACCCGGACCGAACCAAGCCGCCCAGTTGGCTCAAAATAAACTAATTTTAAATTGTACGCCCTCTTTTGCGACTTTTAATGGGGCTTTTAAAATAAGAGTGGCTAATTATCCCTAAATTAATCTAATAATAATGGGAGCTTTTTTTAGATGTGCAGGTAACAGCATACTTTCCACAAAATATATAGACAATATATTATATGAGTATAATTTAGTTTTTGTTACGATTTCAATTTTAATTATTTTAATAATTAATTTTTACTTTTTCAAATAGCGGTGTTTCCCACCACCCTTAGCAAAGACACAACCCACAGTTTGCGAGGCACTGAAGTATCGATACACCGATTAGGCACAACTATCGATAGCACGCCCGTACAAGAACACTCCCACCGCCATTAAAACTTAGAACCTTTGAAGCGTAGGGTAACACTTTTTTTGTACAAAAAAAAGCGCAGTGTGTGTTGTTTATTATGCATTTGTTGAACTACAAAATTAATTAATTAAATGTGCGCCACGCCCGGCATGTAATCAATCGCCACGCTTGAAAATGGGCGGCCAAACGAACGAGGGGCGTGGAGATCGCCCCCCTCCTCCTCCTGCGTCGCTGCCCCTCCTGCTGCTGCTGTTGTTGTTGTTCCTGAATCAGACGCCGACTGCGACGCCGACGTCGACTGCGACGGCGGCAGAGGGGGGTCAGGTGCAGTCGCAACCAGAAACGGAAAATCCCCAAAATCCGGAAACATCCATCTCTACCGGTTCAGGATCGGCATCCTCATCTTCATCCTGCCCCCGAAAATGCAGCTGCCGCAATATATCCGAAAACATACACAGCCTAAAAGTTCGCTGCGATGAGCAGCAGATAACCAACTGGCGGGAACTGGAATTTGGAGAGGATGTGTTGTCCAGCGTGGTCAGCATGTAAGCCAAGACCTGGGTCTTCCCCTTTGGATTCCCCATACTGAAGATACTAATTCTTCCCCTCTTTATAGCAATGCCAGCAAGAACTCCATTGCGCAGATTACCGCCATGGATTTCGCTAACTTTACGGAACTCAGGCGCTTGGATCTGTCCTTCAATCTCCTCACCGAACTGGATAAGGAAACCTTCGGCAAGAGTCTGGGCCATCTGGAGAAGCTGAAGCTGGCGGGGAATGCCATTAGCCACATCTACGAGGGCACCTTCAATTATATGACCAGGCTCAGGCTGCTGTAAGTTGGATAATACGGATATATGTGGGTTACGTTGTAGATATAAGGATTGCAACTAGAATGATGATACTCTTATGGCATAAACAGCTCAATATAGCCTTGTATTTGGTTTAGGTAAAGCAGTTTTCAAAGATTGGTTGAGTTTAATGATTGTGATCTCATGTATGTTGTAAATATAACGATTGTAGATAGATGATAGCTAATTTTTCCAGTCTAAAAACTAGGATGATGGATACTCTAACAGCATTTACAGCACAATATGGCTTTTTACTATGTTTAGTTAAAAAAGTCTTAAAGAATTGCTTGGGTATAATGAAGAAATATTTGATCTATAGTATAAGGGCGTTGGAAAAAATGTATTTATAAGGACTTATTGATAAAGTAACTTGTTTATGAGCTTCATGATCGCAATAACAAGTAGAACTTAAGAAAAATCTTAGAAAGACCATTATGAAAATAAATCTCAATCTATTTTCACCTTACCATTCACAGCGATCTGTCTGGAAATCCCTTGGCCTGCGATTGCGGCTTGATCTGGTTGATTGCCTGGTCGACCAGCAAAGAAGTGCGCCTCCAGCCGCCCCCTAAATGTGACTCCCCCAGCAACTTTCGCGGCATGCCACTGAAAAAACTGCGTGTGGGCAAGGATTTCCATTGCGAGACGCTGCTGCAGCCGTTGCTCGAGCTGATTCCCAGCCGGAATCAGGTGGCTTTCGAGGGCGATGAGCTGCAGCTTAAGTGCTATGCCCCGCGCGTGGCCATCGGAGCTCCCAGGGAGAGTGAGGATCTGCCCACCAAGGCCTATGTGTTTTGGGGATGGTCGGAGAAGATACGTGCCAAAAACTCCACCGAGGATATCATTTACCAGGATCCCATCAAGGTTTTCGGCGATGTGAACCTCGAGACGGGCCACTCAACGGACTCGGGCATTCTGCAGTCGGTCCTGCGTATCGCTAGCCTCACCCAGAATCACACGGGCATGTGGGACTGCACGTTGCGCAGCCAGCAGGCGAATCTTTCGCAGGCCATCGTCCTTCATGTGGTGGCCAAGGGGACACTGTACTGTGAGGCCCGAGTGGTGCACACGAACAAGGGCACTTACCACTGGCCCAGGACGATGCGGGGCGAGACTGTGCTGCAGGAGTGCGTTGAGGAGCCCAGCGATGCCACGCAAGCCCGTCGAGCCTCGCACGAGTGCGGACCCTCCGGGGAGTGGCTAAATCTGGATACGGAGAGTTGTGTCTATGTCAGCGAGACCACACGCATCCTAGAGCAGTTTGCCAAGGTGAATCTTACCCTGACAAAGGGTCAGAATGCCCTAGAGATTGCCCGCCGTTTGCACAACTTTACGCAGGCGCAGACACAACTGAATCGCATACGAGATCCCATGGACCTGGAGTACATAGCTCGAACATTGGTCAAGTATTTGGATCAACTGGAGCAGCCGCAGCAGCAGCAGGAGATCAGTCATCTGTTGATGGACATCGTTTCGCAGCTTCTCAACTTACCGGCGCATCTTTTTCGAGCCGCACAATCCGAGCAGGGCACTGGCCAGCGGCTGCTGCATGTGGTGGAGTCCTCGGCCATGCGATTGGCCTTGGCCAGCACCCAGGCGGAACCGCTGCCCGCGGAGATGATACCCTGGCGGGGATCGCTGGCCCAGCAGCGCAACCTCTTCGTGGAGTTTTTCAACATCAGTCTGGATGCCTTTGTTAGCTTGTCCTGCGTTTGGCTGGAGCAGAGTCCGCGGGGTTTCCAATGCAATAGCGCCAATGACACCATACCCATGTACGAGCATGGCGACATCGATGCTGCCATCCAGCTGCCCTACAGCGTGATTGGAAATAGCTCTGGAAGTTCACCGACTGCCTCGCCCATCCGCAGTCTCCGCTTGATGATCTCACTGCACAGGAATGGCAAACTGCTGCCCAATCTGAGGGGAAGCCACAATGAATCCTTGTCCTCCGCCATCATTGGTATTCTGGCGTACAGCAGCGAAGGAGAAGCTGTTCAGTTTCGATCCGAAAACGAGCTAGATCCGGAGGAGGACGTGTACCAGCAAAGGGTGACCGTGATGCTAAGGGCACACCCGTATCACAATCCTTTGAGTGCGCCCCAACCTGCTTGGTGGGATGCGGAGGAGCAGCGTTGGGAGCCGAGCGTTTGCCAGCAGCACTATCAGCATCGCACCCTGGTCATGTTCAGTTGCAGTCGCACGGGATACTATGGCCTGCTCCAGAGGAGTCGCTATCTGAATGATTTTCGAAGCGAGGAGTCGGGCGCCCGCTTCAGGCATCCACCGGCTGCGGTCTACGCTGGATGCGGCCTACTCTTCGCCTGCTGCGCCTTCAATGCTGTGACCTTTGCTGTTTTTGGAAGAGCTGTGCGAATCAACCGGGTGCAGCGGCATGCTCTGGTCAATACCTGGTTGGCACTCGGTGCACTGGCTCTGGCTTTCTCGCTGGGAATCTACCAAACCTCCAGCCAGCCGCAGTGCCGCCTGCTAGGATTGCTGATGCACTACCTCGGCCTTTGCGTACTGCTTTGGGTGTGTGTGAGCCTGAGTAGCATGTACAAACGGCTGACGAAGACGACAACCTCGGGACAGGGACAGTGCCAGGGCCAGGATATGGAGCCGCAGCGGGAGCGAGAGCGAAAACCCATACTGGGCATCTACCTGGTGGGCTGGGGCATCGCCCTGCTCATCTGTGGCATCAGCAGTGCCGTGAATCTGGCGGAATATGCCACCTACGATTTTTGTTTCCTGCACAGCGCCACCACACTGAATGCTCTCCTTGTTCCAGCCGTCATTCTTGTGATCTTCTGCGGCATCTTGGCTCTGTGCATATACTATCAACTGAGTCAGCAGGCGGTAAATGTGCTGCAACTGCAAATGCAACAGCAGCAGCATCGTCAGTACTCGGATAACAACACGCAAGCCACGGAGCACATCGATCTGGATTGGCTGGATGCGAATGGTAGTGCCACCACAGCGGCGGTTGGAGGCGGTTCCGGCAACCACGGCGGGCGCAAGGAGCAGGATCACATGCAAGAGCAGTACAGTACGCTGAGCAATCCGCTGAGCAGCATTGTGGACGATTTCGAGCGCTCGAATCTTTCCCATCTGCGTGGTCACTTCATTTTTCTGGTCTTGTATGCCGGCGCTTGGTTATCCGCCGCCGCTTACGTAAATGGTGGTCAGGAGCTCTATGTTATATCCTTTGCCGGCTGCTGTTCGTGTTTAGGCATTTTCCTACTGATTTTCTACAACCTGAGCCGGAACGATGCCCGTCAGGCCTGGTCGCAGGGCAGAGATGGACGCAGCAGACCTGCCAAATTGGTGACCTACAACAATGGCAGTCAGGCGAGGGGCGCACACCCGTCGGGAATGATCCCCGGACCCGGAACGGCCATGATCAGCAACTCCATTGTGGCCTACAAGGCGAATCCCGGTCCTGGCAGCTTGTACGAGGCAAACAATTCGGCGGGATCACGCTCGAATAGCCAGTGTTCGAGGAGCATGCGCAGCCAGACGAGAAGTCAAACGAGGAGCCAGCAGGAGCAGCTGCTTCAGGCCAATGGAGCAGGGGGAGTTACTATCATTAACAACACCAGCGGACAGCAGGGAGCCGGAGGTGGAGCAACAGCGGGTGGAGTATCTGGCTCGGGAGGAGGAGGAGCAGTCCCGCCTCACAGCTTAAATGCCCTATTACATGGTTCCAGTCACGACCTCATACCCTCGGCGGAGATCTTCTATAATCCCAATCAAATCAATGTGGCCCGAAAGTTCTTCAAGAAGCAGAAGCGCCTGGCCAAGCGGAACAACTTCGAGCTGCAGCGCCAGACGATGCCACAGATGCAGCTCCAGATGCAGATGCAAATGCAGCTCCACAGCCAGCACAGCCTGAGCGATGCCAGTTCGGAGCAGCTGTACAGCAGACACCACAATGCCATGACTCTGCTGGCGGGCGGCAGCAAGATAAATAACACTAATCTGCACTACAAGAACCAAGGCTCGCCCATGGCAGGAGCTCCCAAGGAACACGGAATGGGCATGAGTTCCGGCGGGGATTCCATGCAGTTCAAGCGCTTTGTGCCTACCAGCGCCTCGTCGGCGTCCAAGATCATGCAGGCCAATATCTACACAAATATCCCGGAGACGTTGACTCCTCAGCATGAGGTGATCAAACTCAGGGCCAATGGTCGCACCAGAACACCTTCCCTGCTGGATGAAACTCTGCACGAGCAGGATGACGATGAAGAGGAGGAGGAGGAACACGCTCAGGCGGCGGCAACGGTCGAGGAACCCGAGCCCGAACTCGAGGAGGAAGATGCCAGTTCTTTGGACGAACATGCTCCTTTGTATGCCAATACCTTGCCACCAGCCAGCGGAATGAGCAGCTTGTTCCGAAACCGAGGACCATCCCATCAACCCATCAGCTCCACACCCGTCAAGCAGCCCAGTTTGGAAGCCATGAATAGTTTGGGCCTGCCGGAGGTTAGCCTAGAAGAACCGCTCCTGCAGAAGCACGAGATATATGTGTCCAACTCGCTGCAAGTGACCACCAGCAATAGCATCCAGTTGGACGATGATTTTCCTAGTGTCCTCATCCGTTTCAATCAGCAGCAGCAATCCAAGTCGCTGAATAATATCAGTGAGATGTTGGCTGGCGGGGGAGGTGGTGGCGTAAACTCGCCTGGATTGGATAACCTGGGCGACCAGGAAGAGTCCAGCCAGCTGTCCGTCAACGAGGCCAGCACGCTGGAAGAGCAGCAATTACGCCAGGTGTACTCCTGCTCCAGTAGCAATCTCAGCCAGCTAAAGGCGCACCATCCGGCCACGTCGGTGGACACGGAGGACGATGGACGCCTGCTATCCGGCAGTCCGACGAACGAGAGCGATCTAAACTACCAGAACTCGGAGATCAGCATCCGTAGTCATGGACTCTATGCTCCCCAGGCGGACAACGATCTGAATTTGACCCTAACCGATGACTTCCGCTGCTATCAGTCCTCGAATGCCAGCGATGCCGATGTGGATGTGCTGAACGAGTTCGACGATGAGTTTGTGGCCGCCACGGGTGGTGAAAGGGTGGCGGGAGATCCCGAGCAGGATCACCATCACGACCACGACCAGGACACCTCCATTGATGAGCTGTACGAGGCCATCAAGTGCCGCAGTCCGTTGAGAAGCAAACAGGAGGCGGTCGAGCGCTTTGAAAGGGAGAGAGAGCGAGAACGTGAAAAGGAGATGGAAGCCAAAACGCTGAGCAATTCCCACAACGAAAATCTAAACGAGACGATGGAGGACGATAGCAGCCAGAGCAGCGTGATCTCGTACATCGATCCCAGGGCAGCCAACGAGCCACGCCCCTTCCCCAGCTAGCTCAACCCACTCAGCCCACCCCTAGTTAGATGTATATAGAATATATACAAGATGTATAACACCCGAAATCCCACCCGCCTCCCCGCTTGGCCGGCAAACAAATGGTTAACGTGCCAATGCCAAAGTATTCCTGTACCACGTTTTGTACTCAACCCACTGACACTCGCCGACATATATCAGACTAGATCAGACTTTTATATATCCAGAGTGCTTATATCCTAAGTTCGCCCACTCAAAACCCAGCTAACTGAACTTGTAATTATAGTAAGGCCCCCCCTATTTATTATGACTAGTATTACTCCACTAAACGCACCCAGTTTCAAATTCACCGGAGAAAACTTCATCCAATCAGAGTCCATTAGCTGGTCCCTAGGCTACATCGTACTGCATTTCATCACAACGTCTAGAAATCACCATCCCACACCAAGTCCTACACACATTTAATAAGTTTTAAATTCTGATAAAGCAAAATGCATTTAAATGTAGGCTAAGTTTATATTTAGATATAAATAAATGAAATGTTCACTTAAAATAACTAACGTTTTTTAATAGGTATATAGTATTTAAAGAGTTAACTTCCCAAATGATCTTTCAACCAATAACTAAAACATTTTAGGAGCGATTTTAGGTTTATAAAGAGATTACAAATGTTGCATTTATTATAGGGACAGACACTGAACACATTCAACAAACTACTTGTAAAGTAGATACAATTTATAATAGCAATTTTATCATAATAATACAATGATATTTGTTCAACATCGTCATGGAGTGTGAGGAGTTCTGATCATCTCGATGAGGATGACGCCACTTCCAACACTGGTTAAATTATACAACTTATAAAGTAACACAGAGTTGGAAAGTAACATCAGCCGCATCGCCTCGATAATTAGTTTGATTAGCGTTAGGTGTTTAATCTTAAATAGTAACAATAACAAGAGATGTGTATAAACTATAATAAGATAATACGATATTGCTGATGCCTGGACAGAGCAGGATGCACCTGCTCCCCGGGCCTGTTGTGCATGTTTCTCATGGCAATGCTTCTTCTCACTCCAGTTAAGTGGTTCTCTATCAGCTCCCAGAGATTCACAAGCTCCGTATGGACTTCCAGCGTCGCAGCAACAAACACGACGAGGTCAGTCCGCTGGAATATTGGCTAAATTCGCTAATATTTATGTTGCGTGTTGGAATGTCGATTTTCTCTTTTATAGTCTGTCCGAAAAACAAGTTGATAGATCAATTAGCTCGGTGTTTAATTAGTACGGGGTGACGAATGATGCTGACCTTGTAGGCTTCTGGAATCTCCGTCGGCGATCTGTGTACGATCGTTCCGTTGATGTACAGCATGTTTGCCGCCTTCTCATCGGGCAAAGTCAACTTTTGGTAGGTGAAGCTACCTACCCGCTCCATCCGCTTCACGATATCCTGGCAGGTGGCACTAGTGCTCACGGCCAGCACATCCGGCCCCGCCATGGTCACATAGTACTTCAGCCTCTTGGAGCCGTTTACCTGGAAGGGATGGGTACAGAAATGGGTGTAATACATGCATAAATGGGTATTGCACAAAGGAAACGTGTCGACAATGAGACGAGTCATGAGACTCTTTATAAACAATCTAATAACCAAATAGGTGTCCCAGAATATAATGAGGTGTATGAGATATGTATAGAGAACAGATGAAATGATTATAATAATATTAAAATGAAAGTTAACTATTAGGTTCTTAAAGTAGATGCAAATGTTGGCTGATCTAAAAGATAATCCATATGAACAAAATTATATATGTATTCGAATCGGCGTAACAATAGAACATATCTTATCTTATCATATAACATGATAAGATATATAATATATGTATAGTGAACAGAAGAAAAACGTGTTGTTAAATGATTATAAGAATGTTAAAATTATCATTTTTACAGACGAGAGGTATAATAATTGACTTTAACTATAGGATACATTAGTATATGCATATGTTTGCTGACTTGATAGTTAATATTTATATTCAATATTATATATTTACCCGAATCGGCGTCACAGGATACTCGGGAAAGGCCATGGCCACCGCCCTGGCGCCCTCCTCGTTGGTAAAACCAGAGATTCCAACAAAGAACTCGCGTCCTAAAATAATATTTATGATGAAATTTGGCAGCCAATGGGATTCTTTGAACAAAACCTACCCGTAAAAAGTACATCCCCGCCATCCAGCTGCGCGTTCAGGTCGTCAAGCTCGATAACCGGAATGTCCAGCTCCTTTTTAAGGATAATGGCCATGCTTTCGGCTTCGCGTCGCCTCTTGGCATGCTCCGATCTCCCGATCAGGGCCACTCCATTGCAGATCACTGCACTGTTCTCCACGAAGACGCCCTCGGGCAGCTGGTCATCCGGCGGTAGCTCGATCACGTCCAGGCCAATGGTTCTCAGGAGGGTGCAGTACTCCTCGTGTTGCTGCTTGGCCAGCTGCACGTCGAACTTCCCGTTCTCCAGCAGCGCATCCGAGATTCTACGGCGGATTTAAAGCGGTTAACAATGGTTCTATCAATTGAGGGGAAATGCCAGAGCGTCTGAGTGGGTAAACGAGTAATTGATAGAGATATGTACCTAATATACCTAAGTGTATGCTTATTACAGACAGTCTTGGTCAGGTCGTTGCACCCTAATTAAGCTTGATATGCTATTTAAACTATAAGTATGCTAATAGGTTGATTATGATGGATCTGGGTGAGCTAACCGCATATAAAATTGAAACTTTAGTTTTGGAAAATATGAAAAAAGGATATAAACTAAGTACAGAAGGCGGGTTAGAAGTTGAATACTGGATATGAGTGTTTTTGATTTATTTTAGAGCACAGAACCTTTTGATTTTCAGGAACTTCTGTAATTTTTAAACTCTATTTACTAAATCAAAAAATAGACAGAAATAATTAACCACCTATTTACTTAAAGGAATACAATTTGAAATCTAACCCTTTTTAACGACATAACTTGGGAGGACAATATTTAATCAACAAAATCACTTGGAAAAAGAACAGGGATACAACATTTTAGATAATAAGATATACCCAATGCATCATAGAGCCTGGTTCCTAGGATTTGGGTGGTTGGGAGGTGGAGGTGTGGCCCCACCCACTGGCATGTGTACCCACGAACGATTGGTTGGGTGACCTAATTCCGCGCCACTGGGGCACTCCCTCCTTCGGATCGGATCCGCCACTCGAACTGCAGAGGAAATGGATCAGGATCTGGGCTCCACTCACCTGGCCACAATCGCATGTGTGTATTTGGGCGACATGGTCGGCGGATTGGCCACTTCCTCGACGGGGATGCAGATGCGGATGCGAAGATGCGGATTGGATTCGGATTTAGATGTGACCTCTTGGCGAAAGCTAATAAAAACACGTCTCCGTCTGATCTGGTCACTCTGCAAGTTATTGGAATATTTTTAAAAGATTTATACAATTTAAATAGTGCAAAGTCTTCCAGTTTGTCACATAAATAATTTTTTAATTAAATGTATAATTTTATTAATAATAAATAACTTAGTAAATGGATTACTTGGAATATATAATAATTTTAGAAAACTCTCAGTAACCAGTGAGAAAAACCTATCCTAAAACTGATTTTTACCAAAATTGTAAGAATTTTAAGTTAGGAATGTTGTACCTAATTTACCAATTAAACGTTTTATTTTGTGATATCAACAAAAACGTGACTCTGGGTGAACGGTCACGTCCAAAGAAGTGACCTTAAAAGTAGCCCGCTCTAGCGATATCGATAACTCGCCGATAACTAACGTATACACATCGCCAATTTGGTTTGGGCATTTTCTCGCATGCAAATTGCAAAAAGTGCGTGCATTTTCCGCAATTTCCCGCGCGCACAATACTCCGGCAGCCGTGAAATTGATGCGACCAGTTGTGGACAAGCAGTAGGCATGGACGAGGGTGAGTAGACATGGCGGAGCCAATCCCCGCGAGCGTTTCATTGATGGCGGCGTCTCGTGCAGATTATTCGGCGTCATCTTCGGCCGGCGGCGGTGGTGGCAAGAAGGCCGGCGTGGGCAAGCAGCACAACACGCTGCCCTTCTGGGGCAACGAGACCTCGATGAACCTGAATCCCCTGATCCTGGCCAACATCCAGAGCTCCAGCTACTTCAAAGGTGCGTTTTACCTCTAACCATAGCTGCCTTCCCAGTGTAACCCGCCTTTTTCTCCCTCCGTCTTTGTCTCCTCCGACGACAGTCCACTTGTTCAAGCTGAAAACCTACCATGAAGTGGTCGACGAGATCTACTACCAGGTGAAGCACATGGAGCCCTGGGAGCGCGGATCCCGCAAAACGTCCGGACAAACGGGCATGTGCGGCGGTGTGAGTGGTTTATGAAATGTAGCGCTAATCGTTGGCGATGCTTCGAGGAATCCCCATGAACATACTTATTTCTGTACCATAATCCTTTCCAGGTGCGCGGCGTTGGCGCCGGCGGCATCGTGTCCACGGCATACTGCCTTCTCTACAAGCTATACACGCTGCGGTTGACCCGGAAGCAGATAAACGGACTGCTCAACCACACAGACTCGGCCTACATCCGGGCACTAGGTAGGTGTTGGTAAGTCGCATGAGTTCAGCCGTCACATATGCCGTCGCTTGCTCCTGCTCCCTCAGCACACCAAAAGCACACCAAACATCACCCCAAAAAAGAATAAACAACCAGGGTGGGTCGATTTGGACGGTTGCAAGGCACATACATAAGAGAAGGCCAGTCGAAAGGCCATTGAATCGGCGTGGTGGAAGGTATTCTATGGACTGAACAACAGGCTCGTTTCATTTACAATTTCAAGTTGTGCCTTGTGCGAGAAGAGGACCTAGCATCTCCTTACATCTGCCTGCGAAGGTAAACGATATCATACTTGTTAAGTGAAAACACGTATATTTTTATAAAGCATTCCGATTACCTTCCATATTTGTGCTGAGTTTTCCCAAGTAATTCATTCAGCCCTTTAATAATTTCAATTTCATCAATTCAATCCTGAATTTCCTTGCTTTTACAGAACTTCTTATATACATATAGAAGTTCTTTTCCTATCCATGAAAAATTTGTTAAAAAGTACATTTATTAAAAACTGCTTTTCGTTTTTAAATCCACTGTTTACTGTTCCATAATTTGTGTTGCATGTCTTGGATGAGCAACTCAATAAATTTGAATGAGAAGGAATCGATAAAATTTGCAAGACTAAAAATATTTGAAAACGCACAGGAACTTTAAGTTCCCTTCGAATATTTTATATTGATCTTAAAGTAACACTGTTTGTCTGGGTTTCAAGAATTCTCCGTCAAACAAATCGAGCCACCCTACCATGAAACACATCCTCCTTTGGCCAACCACAAGCTCGACTCCTTAAAACGCTTCTAATCCCAAGTGTCTCCTTTTCATTCCTTGTCCCAGGCTTCATGTACTTGCGATACACGCAACCACCGAGTGACCTGTACGACTGGTATGAAGACTATCTGCAGGACGAGGAGGAGATCGACGTGAAGGCG